AAACAAAAAAATAAATTATTATAAACATGTTTAAATAATTATATATTTAAAAATTCACAATTATACACCTATTTTAGGTGTGAAAGTATTATGCTTATTACACATATTGGAGAAGTAAAAGTACAAATTTAAATTCTGAATGACATAATTGCTTTGTACATATCAAAGATCATCACATTATTAGAAAGTTATTTCCAAATATTTATTGTATTACAAGTATTGGTAATGTACATGGTAATGCTTGCATGAAAACAACAATAGAATTTTTTGTTCATTCTTCAATCTTTTGTTCAATTTCCTGTAAAAATAGGAAGCAACTTTGAACAATTCTCATTAATTGAGTCATGAATAATTTATAACAATCCAGGAATAATGAAAATGAAGAAACTTATATGAGATTAGATACTACATAGGCTATCAACTGCCTATACAATTATTCAAACTGTCATGTTCTCTTCTGCATAATGATATACAACATATATGTTACAGATAAGGAAGAGGATCTACAAGTAAACAAGCAACAACATACAAAATACCCAGAAACATATTTAATTTAGCTGTTTGTTTAGGCACACTCTGAATCATATGAGGACTACGGAATTGCTTTTCTATTTTAAAGGCAGTTGGCAAAGTAATCACAGGTAATAGAAACCAAATGGAATACCTCAATGCAAGCACAACCAGTGTTACATATGGAGTGAATAGCAAAAAAGCATACAAAACATGAGATACGGTATGACCTATTAATATAGCTAGTGTTACTATTCCTGCCTTTTTGTCACTCTCTAAATCTCGTGTATTATTACTATGTAGAATAGCCTCTGTATTTAATGCAAGAGGTATAGCATAATATATTGTACCTAGTTCAATGTAACCAGTTTGAGCCATGAATGCAAACAAAACTGAAACTGGGCCAAATATAACTAAGATAAGGACATCACCTAATGCAATGTATTTCAATCCTATTCCTCCAGTATAAAGAAATGAAGAAGATAAACCTCCAAAGTACACAAGTGCAAGATGCTCCATTTTTGCAGGAGATATAGTGGTTAATAAAACAAAACCCAAACATCCTCCTGTATATAACAATGCACCTAATGAAACTAATTCATCTTTTGATAGAAGTTGATCTACTAATATCCTGTCATCACTTTTTCTGCTATCCACCCCCTTTATATAATCAAAGTAAGTATTTACTACGTTACCAGCTCCATGAACACAAAAAACTGTATATACTGTGAGGATCAAAGATATCCAGCTAAAATTTGCTATATCTGTCAACCGATATGCCAATGCACATCCCAAAAGTGTTGGCATTAATGATGCACTTAATGACCATGGTCGTACAGCTAAGAAATATGAGGATAACTTCATTAGTGGAGAATTCAATGTTGAGGATGTTGTAGGTGAACAATTTATGTTATTTGACATTGATTTTCCTCCAACTTCCTTAGTAGTGTTTTTTTAGATAATGACTAAACTTATATAATAGAGAAAGAAACTTATAATGAAGTTACTTTTGCTATTTTATTGAGAATGTTTTAATTACACTATATAAAAATTAATTCTTTAACTAAGGAATACTTTTTATTATTCATACCAATAATAACAAAATTCACAAAAGTAATAAAGAACAATGTATCCAAGTTTTATAGTACAGTTACAGTGATGCAAAAGAATATATTTTGTATAAAGAAGTAATAACATGTTGTCGCCAGTATTATTAGTTATTCGATTTTACGAAAAGCTTATTCCTTCATGTAAATATTGAATCATTGAAATAAACTTACCTACCTACTGTTCATCCAGAAGAGGAAAAATTAGGTTAGAACAGTCTCCATAATTCTTTGACCAGCGTTACATTTTTAAGTACATCTCGTCATTATGAAAAAATTGTTAATTATTCGAATAAAATTTTCACATAGTTATCATTTGAACTTCGCGTTCGACGAAAAATTTAGTTCCTCTTCTTGTATACGTTAAATGTAACGGTGACGTGTTTTCATTAATTTGCACGTGGCGCTCTCTGAAATATTCCTTTTTCTCAGAAAAGTTAACAACAACGGTAATGAACTTCACTTTCGCGAAAAATATTTTGAAATTTCTAATTCATTTTCTAATCGATTAGATTTAACCGTACAATGTAATTTACAAAACAAAACAAAAAAAATATATATATATACATACGTTTTTTAAAATGGAATCATATAATTTTTAATGCATTAATCAATGCAGCCTTTTATTTCCTACAGAAAAGTATTAAGGTATTTATGTCGAACAACCATTAGTTTAAGAGATATATTAATGTTAATATTGTAAAGTGGTACTAGTACACCTATCTCCGTTTACATTTTTTGAATTGAAAGTGGACATTGTTTTTTACAAAATGATAGTAGGGCAATGAGACGAAGTCAATCACATCATTTCATGTGTTATTTTATTAAAGAATTTGTGAAATAGAAACAACATTGACAGTAATGAATCTAAAAGTTCAAATGTTCAAAGGCATTGCCTTGATTGTCAATGCATGCTTGTATACTTGCATCAAATGATATACTTAACTTTATCTCATTGCCCTCCTACCATTTTGTAAAAAACAATGCCCACAGTCAATTCACAATGCATATTTTATAAATAAACATTGTCCTATATTTTTATTAATTTTTCTTAGCAACCAATGTTCCGTTATTTTAAAATTTATTAATTATAGTAGGGCATTGATTAGATTAGAAAACAATTGTAAATTTTATAAAATGATAAAATAAGATCAACCAATTTTCTTCAATACAGTTTTATCAATCATCTTATTTCTTTGACATTTGAAGCTATTCATTCGTAAATTTTTCTAATATATAAAGAAATAAAATTTAATTCACATTAAAATCTGTTTTAAGGATCGTTTAACCAATACGATATTGTGTTGCAATACGTTCCGAACTATAATAACGGAGTTCATGTAAACCAGTCATAATACTAAAAATATACAAGTGTGTATAACTGCAGCAGTTGAAATCATTCAGTGTACATTCTTCGTTTTGCGACTGATAATTGGTGGTGTTAGGTGGTATTGGACGTTCATTTTACATTTCCGTTTTCTAGAAATTTCTGTAGGACTCTCCGGACAAGATTTTTCTTGAAAAATTTGCGTCATTCTACCTAGCTAAAGTTTTCACGTTATCTGCTTCCATTATCGATCGTATTTTGTTCACAAATAGTATTCGATTGACTGTTTTCCAAAATGTCCTTGTTCGGATCACTGATGGGTGATGTCGACGATGATCCTATTTTTGGGTAAGTGGAAAAAATACGTGCAGTCCTAAAAACTTTTACGTCTTTTGTAGCAATTATTAAAAGAACAACGTTTTATTAATTTCATTGCATAAATTTACGAAACAGTAATACTATTGTTTCATATAACAGTAAAATAATACGGAATTTTCAAAAAAATTGTTGTCGACACGTTTTTTTTTGTCAAAAAGTTGTATTTTATGTGTTTTTATTAATCGTTTATTAATCGTTGGAAGTGATTTATTTAAAATTTGATATAAATTTTGTTTCCATGTTGATTTAATTGTTATTTTACTTTACGTATTACACAATTTTCTTTCTATTGAAGAATAATACGATTTATTAAAATTTATTTAATTACGTATTTATATATACGTATGTGTATATACGTATGTGTGTGTGTGTATGGATATGCAATGGAGGTTCTGTCTTGAATAAATAAACAACATATCAAAGGCTTTATTGTTGTTGCTTTTTTATTTTTGGTAGGTCCCACATGCAATCTATGAGGCACATGAGTGACATGATGAACTCTTTATTTAATGATCCATTTGGCATGATGGGTCCTCCCCGTCATAATACCATTATGGATGATATCCATAGAAGTAGAAGCAGGGGTCATCAAAATGATCTCCAGATGATGCCATTTGGATTTCCACCAATGCCTACATTTAATATGGGAAATCTATTTGTGGGTGGAAATCAATTGGCTTCTGGTGAAAATGGTCATTCCTTTGTTGCTAAATCTGTAATGACTATGGCTAGTGGTCCTGATGGTCGTCCACAAGTTTATCAGGAAACTATGTCTACAACAACTGCTCCTGGTGGTGTAAAAGAAACAAAAAAAACAGTTTGTGATTCTCGTACTGGTATGAAAAAGATGGCTATAGGACATCATATTGGAGACAGGGCACACATTTTAGAAAGAGAACATAATCTTCATAGTGGAGAACAGGAAGAACATCAGGAATTTATTAATCTTGATGAAGGTAACTAATTCTATGTATATTTCTATTTTCTTTGTGAACATGAAATAAACGAATTCATAAATTCTATTTTATAGAAGAAGCAGAGAGTTTTAATAGTGAATGGGAATCACATACTCGTCGTGGAGTTGGAGCAATTGGCAATTCTCATTATGGTAGTCATGGTCATCGAAATCGACCTGATCACAGGCAACTGGCTCTACCTGAACCATCAGGAAGGTTAGTTTATTAAATTTATAATGAAATACGTAATACATTTTTCAAAAAGTACTTTTTAAAGGTAGGATAATTCTTTAAAGGAAAAGAAAAACAACATATCTATTTTAACGTTTTTAGGAAAATATATATACCTTTTTTTTTATGTAGTGTCAATGTATGTAGTAGTAGGGCATGTAGTAATTGTATGTATATATATTGTATAAGTATAGAAATATGTTGCACATAAGATATAAGATATATGCATGTATAGCAGTATTACTGATAAAATCAAATTTATGCAGTGTGCATAAGAAATCCAGAAGACGAACCAGTAAAAAAAATTGAATGGAGAAATGGGAACACATCATGCTATGTCACTTCAATCTCACTTTGTGCATTCCCTGCTAACATTTTTGTATCAAACATTGAAATAAAAACATTCAGGCTTTAATTTCTATTTGTTCTCTCTAAGTATCAATGTAGCATGACCAACGAAGATATATATGCTTTGCATTGTAATGTTTTTGTGATATTCGTATTTTTAGTTTTTGTATTACTTGCCATATAATATTAAATTATAATTAATGTACCACTATAATAATGACTTATGATTTAAACATATAGTACAGTAATAAATTAACTGCCACATATTTCGAAACTTTGAATCTCATTGAAAGTATTCTATGATAATTGTAAAATCATTGAAATCAATAAAATAAATATATGAATAAACTATGTAATGTTGCATTTGACTTTTTTTTTTTATTTAATGTAATATACACAAACACTGAGTTTCTAAAGTTGAATATTTTACTATTTTTATGTTACTACTTTATCTAGTTTTCTTCTTGTATATTATTGATTTGCTTGTTATGTGCTTTCATAGTCGATACTCTAGTTCCTCAAGGTGGACACCTTCTAGACGTAGTTTAAGATTGCCACCTACATCTAAAACATCCAATCCAATTCACAGTTTAAGGTAAGTTTAGCTGCTTCTTCTAGTACTTGATGCCATCAAGATGATTTTCATTGATTACTTTCAAAGATGTCCATGTGTTTATGTAACTAGATTGACAATACATAAATAAAATGTATCACAAATGGAATCTTATATCCATGAAATAACATTCTATAAGTATACTATGCAATTGCTGTGTAGCATATCATATGGTATTTGTAAGCAAAGATATATGTTTTCAACTTGCCGCATGTATACTTATTATACTTACTAGCAATCTTTAAAAATTATATTTAATCTTAATATCTTTATTAATTTTAATTGCCTTTTAAGGTAAAACTACAAACTTAGCATTTGCTTTGGTAATGTTATTGTCAGGAGCTTTTATAAATCATACATAATATACACTGTTGTTGTAACTCTTGTCTTCTTTATTTCTATGTGAAATTACAAAATATTTATCTTATAGTTCTGTCATTTATTTTGTCATCTGTAATACAACAAAAGACATTGGTATAGAAAGTATACCATATATTGTGTATTGCAGGTACAGCCGCAAATAATAAAGTAAAAGCATAGTATACAGTGGTGACATTTGTGCAACGTAAGTACGTTGCGCTCCATTTTATATTCACGTTTGATATTCTAATTAACACAATTGTATTGTAATTTTCTGGATATGTTTCCAATGTTATACTTGGTGAACTAAAACTTCCACCATCGTGTTTTTTTTTTCTCTTTTTACCAAAATACTTTTTAAAATGGTTTTTACACATGGACTAATTATTATTACATCATAATCCTTTCTAAATTTATGTTCAACCTTGACGAAAGCATAAATATATATAGTTGAACATTTTCATGTTTACAGTTCGAATATATCCGGTCGTGTTCAATCTGCTAAAGCAGCTACATCAGCAACAACTACAAGTGTAATAGGAAACCGAAAACGTAAACATATACCGGATGCTAAAGCTAGCAAAAAGTGTCATGTTGTACCAGATAGTAATGTCTAGTTCTTCTATTAAACCATTTAAACTATATTTCAGTAATACTGCAGAACTTTGGTAAAGTTGACCTCAATTAAACGGTATTATGTTAAGTTAATTAAATTTTATAAACAATTTTTTATATAATGTTCCTATAGATTTGTATGAATTTGTAATAAGTTTTGCTAATCTTTTTTAGAAGGTTATTTTAAGAAGGAAATATAGAAGTTCTACAAAGTAATGTATATCAACATGTATGAGGAGTACTAGAGTAAGAATATCAGAAAATATGTAATTTTGTTTTGGATGTCTATATATGATCAAAAAACTGTTATTTTTCACGATCTTTAGTTTGCAAGTAAAAAGTAATGCGATATTTTGTTTGTTGTTACAGAATTATCGAATTATTGTTTCTTAGGTTTTCAATTATTTGAATTTTGTGGAACATTACCTGTTTTTATGATTCATGTTTCAGTTGGATTTTTAATATTAAACAATATTCGAATTTAAAAAATATGTTTAAGAGTACATTCACAATGCCAACAAAGAACATATTTTGGGGTAGTGTATTCATCAATAAATGTACAATTTAATGTAACTATTCTCGTCACTGTTTATTCAAATAAAAATTATAGATTTAGTATAATTTAACCCACCTTTTATACTAAGAACAAAAAGAAAAAGTAATTGAATATAAATCAACCTTAATACCAGCATTTTTTATCATTTTTCTTTTAAAATGTAAGAACATTTAATCTTATTCAACATTGTGTCAATGAAAATATCACTAAATTTTCTAGAAACTTTAAAAACAATCTACAGTTAAATGTTTATAATATAAACACTAATAAATAGCGGTGTAAACCATGGTATTCCACTGGTCGAATTCTAAAACATATGATCCCCAAGAAATTATTAAACATATCATGCTAACATTTTCATTGAACTGTTAATAACAATGCATAAAATATAGTTTTATTAAAATCCATTAAAAAGTATTTATACCCTATCTCGTAACAAGAATAAAATTAACGTTTGTAACACATGGTAAATCATTAACATGATAGTCAAGAAAAGAAAGTAAGAGGAAAGTCGGCAAGGAAACTGATGCGTCATACTTTGTGTGCTCCACACGAGGCAGATTAACTTCTATTAATTGTCCTCTGATAAATTGTTGATTCTCGCATTAATAGCCAGGAGTTGAGCCACGAAGGCTGAGTCGCTCATAATCGTAGCAAGAGCAGATAGTAGGTCTTCTACTGTAACATGCGAAAGACCTAACTGCCGGGCACATTCGGCAATGATCTCTTTTTCCTCGGCATTAGTATTTACCTGAAAATGAAAAAGTTTTAGAGAACTATTAATTAGAATACACTTTTACTGTCTTAATCTACGATTAATTTAGAGCATACCTTTATTGAACTGCAGAATTTGTTGAAAGGCATTTTAACTCTTTTTTTGCCACTACTGGTTTGGTAAAAAATTGTAAAAGTTTGTGCACTGTTCATGTCTAGCACAACAGGAAAATATATACCAGCTGTAATGTGACCTTTAGTGTCTCTCGCGAGGAGACTTCTGAAATTGTAAACTAAATTTCTACGTTCTGTGACATCAATGGCAGTTAAGTAAGGCCTTGCCACATATATAAGAGCAACTTGTGTCCTTTCCAAGATACCGGATCGTGTTTTCCTCTCGTGCCATTCAACGTAATCAGGATCGTTAGCGCATAGAAAGTAATTGTACTCTTTTTTACAATCCGGTTCGTCAGACTGAATAAACCAGCCAGTATGTGGGTATAACTTGTCTTCCATTACAGTAATCACTCGAGCTACATGATATCCAGGATCGAGGAGCATAACTCCTTTCCGTCCATTAATTTCAATTTTCAGGCACACTAGTACATGTTCCTTCTCCCTGCTGTCTGCAGCGGGCGGTCCACCAACATAACTAGCGACATTATTGATCATCTACGGGCAAAAGAAATTTATGTAAGATGTTTATTTGCGCATTACGCAAATTGAATTATTCATTCAAGTTTGAAACCTACCTCCTCACAGGACACTAAATAGAGGCCACTTGCTATACCAGGAAATCGTTTGTTTAAACCCTCTAAACGTTGTAGTAATTCAAATCCCAAACCCACGCAAGTATGATGTTCACGTTTTATCAATGGTTGATATTTGTGATAAAATTTTTCCAGCACAGTTTCACCACTTGCAATATAATCCTTATAGAACCTGTTAATCACGAAACACAATTTTTTAGCAGTTGTATGTAACAGTAGAATGATAATTAGAAAGACATACTTAAGGAAATTGCCAATGGTGTCATAACGATGCTCACGCAATAAGTGTTGCGTTTCTAATTCAACGTTGCCTGCTAATTCCTCATACTGTTCGACCGTGAGAACGATCAGGGCTGGTGCCTCATAATGGGCCCATACCGGCAGGGGTAGCGGCACACCCCTAATCCAGGGCCCGCGTGCCTGCCCCTGTGGCTGGCACCATATCTCTGCCGTCTCGAGTCAACTCGGCCATTCACTTCCCCAGCGTCCCACTGTTGGCACAAAGCCATGCTCATCCCTGCAGCTGCTGATTGGCTCTACAGGGCTCTCTCCGTGTTTTATACTCTTCTCTCGCTCTGTAAACAAAGCTTTTTAAAATTATTTGCATGTTTTTTGGGTAAAAACTTTTTTCAAATAATTTATACATTTACAATGTGTTACATTAGTAATAATAATTAGAAAGTACTTAGTTTGAAATGACGCATTTCATATCAAACATACATGAGCATAAATACATCTTCTTCAACTAATATAATTTACTGCTTATTTTTAGTAATTATTATTTTCATTAATAAATATATTTACTATAAGTCTATTGCTATTTAAGTACATGAATTAATACGGTTCCATATTGCAAAATTTGCGAAATACAGTAAAGATTCTATAAGAGTTCGTTGGGATCTACACCTTAACTGTTCATGGTTTATCCCCACCACGAGGAGGGGGGGCACCCTTGAACCAGGCAAGGGACTAATGTGACACAGTCGCGGCATCTCCTTATCGCATTCGGTGACAATGTCCGTGAGACAACTAACAAAACTACAAAAGTTACGTTAAAGTTAAGAGTATTCTCAATTTTTGGTTAATAAAAATTTCATCAAAATATTTGTGAGATTTTCCTGATTAAAATGATACCAAACACGATATTGTTACAAAACTTGGTTGTGTTGAATGGGTTTGTGAATCTTCCCTTGCCTGCTACCTTTTTCTACGTTCATTTCGCTGTCGGCAAAATGTTTACATCTAAAGAATGGAAAACCTCTCCGTTAAGAGTTTCACAGCTGTGCCAAATACGAACAATTATCCAGTACTAGAACTGGATCAATCCGGTTATTCTTGAATGGGACAGTCTTAGTTAACTGTTCGTAAGCGGCATTGCCTTTGATCAATTAACGGATAGTAAGAAACGATTTTCGACCTTTGACGAGTTTAAAGGACACATAAGAATACACATAGGACTCTTCACAAGCAGTTTGCAAACAGCTTGCGAACAATTGTAATTTACTAATGTTAAAAATAGAATTTAAATAGATTTAAAAAATTGAAGGTCATCTTCATTTCTTCAAAAATAATGCAAACACAAACAATTCATATACATCGTTATATTGTTTACAAAAAATAGTGTCACTTATTTCGTATGTACATATGCATGTGTGGAATGTCTTATTAAGTAACTAAATGTAAACCGAATTATACCGTATTTGGTCTCATTTTAATGAGAAAAATATCGTAGATATGTTAGTAAAAATTTTATCAACACAAAAAATAAAAAAGTTTCTCTTTTGTATCAGTGTTGTCTCACCCATTGTAGGCATTTAATATTTTAGGACTGTCTCGACTTTCAATATCTCTCTTTTCTTTGTCCGCTGTCTCTTTCTGCGTCAGTCAGTGTCGGTAAAATACAAACAGTTTGAAGAATCTAGTACCTATCCCGTAACTGTTCCACAGCGGTCCCAAAATTCGAACTCTTATCGAGACTTTACTGTAAATGCAGAGAAGCGGATCCGATTTGTCGTTGGCTTGGTGTCCAACATGGCGACAGTATATACGCATGGTGAATCAATACACGACCAAATAGATATGTAGCGTGCCACGTGTCTACTACACTTTTGTCACAGTGTTTCCGTTCACGATTAATACACTATTTTTTCCATATTAATTTAAAAAAAGAAATTCCTACTACTGACAGTACATTAAATGCTGGTCATTGAATAATGAACTCATTAAATTTTCATTGTCTGATATATTCAAGTTAATTCAAAACAAATTAATCAGTACATCGGGAATAATTATATAAGAACGAAAAAAATATTTATTCGATCTTTTCGTTAAACCAATAAATTATAACTAAATGAAAGAAACAAAACGAAAAATTTGAATTTTAAATATTTTCTGAAATATAACGACATTGCTAGCAATGAAATACTGATGACACGCAAAATATTTGTGTTTACATTCACGCGACACATCCGTAATTTGATTTGCAAGATACATTACTCATATTATTATAAGACACCAAGCTTATGATTCATTGCGTCATTGAGAATGCATTCGCTCAAATCACACATATGTGATGCTCGAAATGAAGGGCATTTCCCTCCTGAATCAGAGCACACAAGATGTTTCCAGTGTATAAGCATATACTAATTGTTTGAGGATTCTTTTTATTTTATTTATAAACAAACTCAATTTTGACCCATTTCGATTTATAGCGCATAACAATAAAATAAAAAGAAAGAAAAATCTGGATAAACTTACCCATACAATGAGCGCACCAAACAAACAAAAACTTTCCCTTCTCAGAAGCTTGGTACAATTCACACGTCCGAAGTCCAAGTAGAACTGGATGGTGGAACGTGAGCAGAAGATTATATACGTTCCAACTGACGGCCCTCCTTCCCCGCAACAAGCGATAGTTTACCACGTGACTTCTTCTCTCATGTAAAGTTTAGAATACCTAGACTGTGTGAGTCTTTATTGTTTAAAAACAAATTGGAAAACTGATTTTCTTTTTCAGTTTAATAGTAAACATTAACTATATATACATTTTTACGTTACATCCGTTTGTAGCATTTTGCGCGTTCGACAGATGCGTTTACATGTAATTGTTCGAAATTTTTCTTTACACCCGGTATTACATATTAATTTTGAGACATTTTTATCGGGAATTTCGTTTCAGGGAGCTAATGAACGCACGAAACAAAAGAAATCGAAATCCGTCGCTAGATGGTTTATCTTTAATGTAATTGGTCGAATATATCGCGCCTCTGGAAATCATCGTTTCCCAGCTGTTCGGATATCGAAGCCTTACGTCAGCTCTTCGTCTGACTCAAGTAACGTCACGATAAATAATGACTGCTTTTCTCGGAATGCAAACATAATTAGGAATACTTTCAGGAAAAAATTGGAATATAAGGGCGTTCCTGATTTTTCGGTGCCACTACATATGTACATGTGTTTTTCCTGCGGCTTTGTGCGCGCCATTTCAAACGACCTTGAAGCAGATTCTCTAGGGTTCCAAGCACTTTGTGCGGAAATCTTATCATGATAAAACCGCTACATCGAAAGCTGAACGTTATTTCAGTGAATTAGTTGACGTCATAGACAGCTTGCTGATACACGCATACATTTCTGTATGTGTACTTGTGCCCAAATTCGCTAACACAACGAATTAATATGCATACATACTCAGGATAAATACACTATCTGTCAGTCACGTGACTATAATGTGAACCGATGTATGGCCCGATAGAGAGTGAAATTACGCAGTTACGTTATTTATTCAAGAAAATTGGAAGTAAACCAACTGTTATTGACACAAAATATTTGACATCGATTTAACGCCTGGGTTATGATAAAAGAAAATGGTTCTTATTTTTTTTTGTTTATACGGAAATTAAAAAAGTAGTTTGGCTATATTTTAGTATTCGTAATGTAATGTAATCAGTAATCACATTTTGCTGGAAAAATGACAAGTTGATAATTTCACGTTATCAATATGTCACGTATTTCTTTGAATTTTCGTGAGTAAGAAAAGAAATTTTAACTAGAATATTTATATACATGTACACATACTTAATTTCTAGAAAATAAATATTTCTCCAGTATATTTATGGATAGGAAGAATAAAAATTTTCATTAATTTATCGAGCCATATGATGATTGAGAAGTAGATCGATTTGAAAAGTATTTGTCCAACACGTTTCTCTTTACGGCAGAACAATTTAATTGCACAAGGTATAAGAATGTATGATTCATAGAGGTCAGTGACGTAAAGGTATGTTTTGCTACTGCTAAACGCTTTGTATGTATGTGTGTAGGTTCAAACACTGACATAAATAGTGATAAAAAAATATGTTCTACTTATCTTTGCACGAAAATATTATATAAATAGAAATAAATGTTTTCGTTAATATTCTTTTTCAAAAGTGTCTTTTCTTATTCGTCTATTACTCAGTGTTAACCAAGATTAATAAAATTGCAAATATTGGTTATCTGCTTCAAAAGGTGTTTGTTATGCGTTCAACGACTATCACGCAAATACTTCTCCGATAAGTTGATGATAACCTATTGCTAATAATCCATGTACTATTACGCATTATCTGCATCATTTAATTGGTGCAGGCGACTGGAAACCGATTTTAACATAAAACTTAATGCAAGGTTAGTTTTTTGTCACACTTAAAATTATTTTGTGTCTTATTGTCAATGAATTGGCATGTGCTATTTTAGTACTTTAATTAACTACATTGCACGAATATACGTAACAACAAACAAAATACGAGTAATATATCTTCTACTGATTTAAACGTAATACGATATGTGTGCATACAAAGTGCTTTCTAAGTTTACATAAAGCATGCATAACATTCTTGTAAATATTAAAATAAGTATTAAACCTTTCATCGTGGTAAAATTTATTGAATTTAAATTTGGATGCAAATTATGACTTATGTAACCATTACATTTGCAGTTTTGTAATTTTCTAATAATCGTATTAATTTTGTGATTATTTCGTGACAGTTTCATTTGATATCGTGGTTAAAAATAAAATTGTATTTTAAAAATATAATGTAAAGTCGAATATCTTTGTGAAATGAGTCCGATGTCTCGTTCGGGACACGTGATACAAATGGACCAATCACATGATTTATTGAAGAATATCGATGTTATCTGCCTTCGGATAAGATTGAAAATTACCTGTATACGTAATGCACAAAGAGCATCGCTAATGTTTTGTTGATATGAACTTATATGATAAATTTTTAATATTAAATTAAATTACATTGATATTTTTCACATTAATTGTGAAGAGATTTATAGTTGTTTCCCGTGCCATACTTTTCACTTTCAATTTATGAATAATCAGTACAATGGATATTAAATGTGTTTGACATATTATAACGTTTTTGCATGAGTGAAAGTTTTTATATATGTTACAGATTGTCTATTACTGTATTCAAAAATAGTAGTGCATTCCTTTTTCTAGCGGTTAATAATAATGTTTTTTTTATTAACAATAGCGTCTTTAATAGCGTGCTTTTTAAGTAATAGTGTTTGTTAATTTCAGGCTATAAAAAAAGAATACAATTTGAAGAAAAATGAAGTTGACATGGGGTTAATGTCGCACAATATTTTTCTTTGTACATGTCCACTTGAAGAAAATGATAATATTATATTAAAAAGATGACAATATATTAGGAACAATTGTAGTACAATTGTGCACTTGTCAAAATGTAATTAATTGTTTCTGTTTTTTTAAATATGTCGCATATGTATATTCAAATATGTAAATTATATGCCATATTTACAGATACTGAAAAAAAAAATATTATTTATGCTTTTGTTGAAAAAGACTCAGTCTTCTATAATGGAAGTCGAACCAATGGATAATTTGTACCTTGCATTAACACAATGCTTTGCTATTATATTATGCGGGTAAATTTTCTACAACAATTCAATGTTCAAATTTTTTCATCATAAAGTTGAAAAAAGTATATACATAATTTTATTATTTTTTTAGGTACATTGCAGGAAGGTTTGATGTTATTACTAAACCAGAGGCAAATGGCCTGAACACTTTTGTAGGAACATTTGCTCTGCCTTCCTTAATTTTTACATCATTAGCAAAGCTTGACTTTACATTAGTAAACTGGAAATTCCTTCTTGCTGTGCTATTAGCTAAAAGTTGTGTATTTTTTGTTGTACTTAGTGTGTCTCTAGTTATTAAAAGACCATCAAATCCAGGTTGTGCTGCGCTCTTTGCAATATTTACTACACAGAGTAATGACTTTGCTATTGGATATCCTATGAGTAAGTAAAATACATAATATTTTATATATACTTATATAATAATGGTATATTAGTGATAACATATATTTACAGTTGATGCACTATATGGAAAAACACATCCTGAGTATGCTGCTTATTTGTACTTGATGGCACCTATATCATTAGCTATTTTAAACCCAATTGGTTTTGTATTATTAGAAATTGGCAAACGTTATGGTGAAGATCACAGAAATTACAAAGACATGGTTTGTTCTATCATAAAAGGAATTGCATTAAACCCAGTTCTTCTTATGACTGTGCTTGGTATCCTGGGAAACCTTACTTTCCATCATATAGTACCACCTGTTCTTGCAACTGTGCTTGATGTATTTGGCAATGCTTTCTCAGCCAGTGCTCTTTTCTTACTGGGACTAATGATGGTGGGAAAGATACACAAATTGAAGGGTTTTGCTCTTGTCATACCAGGTATATTAATATCGGTAAAATTGCTGGTTCTTCCCTTGGTTATAAGAGAATCTATTATTCTGTTAAATGCTGGAGAAAATAGTACAGATACCGAAGATTTAAGTACATATGGATTTCTATATGGAACCATTCCAACAGCACCAGCTTTGTTCATTTTTACACTTCGATATAATCTCGAAATTGATCTGATTGCATCAGCAATGGTTGCCTGTACATTTTTATCTGCTCCACTTATGTTTGTATCGGCAAAATTAATTAATGCTGTTTCTACCGGAATTACCCCAGCAAACTATGCGCATCAACTGAATATATTCTCCTTTGATGTGAGCATTGCTTCAGTAACAGTTTGCATATGGTTAATAATTTGTTTTATTGGATTAGGAAGAAAAAAATATAAATGTGTTACACATAAATGCACATTATGTATCGTAATCGCACAGGTTTGTATTAATTCGTATGAATATAAAATTGGTGCCAATTGCAGATGAAATTTTCATGAAAAAAGGATTATAATTTCAGCTAACTGCAGTTATAGGTGTTATAATATGGACTAAACTTGAATCTCATAATAGCAGTTCTGTTTTATGGTAATCTTAATATTTACTTTTATTGTATAATTCAATTTTTATATTACTATAACTGCAATTTATCATAGGTATGTTCAATTTATCTTAATTACTGTCGGAGTATATGCTAGTCGTATGTGGACAATGGCAATAGCGGCAACTTTATTATATATAAGTTCCCGTTCCTTGGATTTTGTTCACAACATGCAGAAATGGTTCTATCCAGTCGGGTGGGGGTATGACGAACAATTTTTTTAAATAATTAACATAATAAAAAAGTATAAGTAACAACGAATACTTTCAGGGTTCCACTTTTGATAGCAATTGTGATGTGCAGCACAATATCTCCGAAGGAAACTATGCCCGACTTTAGGAATCCAAACTTTCAACTTGGAGTAATTCAAGCTGCAACTTCTACTGTTTTATTAATATTTTGTTTTATTGGTAACTCTATAACGCAATATAAAATAGCGGATAAAATGTCCTTTTTTTAATATTATACATATATTTTTTTTTACAGTAACAATGGGATGTTTGGTTTTACAACAAAGGTACCAACGTCGAAATATTTCTGCATCTTACGCTAATTTAACAGATAACACCGAAAGTCCTAATAACGACGATGCTGAAAGACGTGTGGTAGATGTTGAAGATCTCGTTTCTTCTCGTACGCCATTGTAAGTGAATTGTATAAAAAATGCTAAGCACTGAAACTATTTATTTTAATTAACATTTAATTCTGTTAGTGTCGGCTGTGAATATGTAGATGGTTGTCCGAATGGTGTATGTAGAAGTAGCAATAACGAAATTGACGATTATGACGTATATTTAAATGCTGACAATGAAAATAACGATCCTCAGTCTCTGCGACATCTTGTATTTGTCATTTTACTTCTATGTTCCATGTTTATTGTAAGTAAACAACGTATTAATATGTTGTAACATCATGATCGATATTATGCAACATTTTATCACAGGGCTTATCCATATCAATTGCAACGCTAATAATGGAAAAAATGACTGGAGTTTACGCGGAATTGGCATTCTTGGACATTGCACTAAACTTTGGCCAATCGTTAATCGCATTTGCTATTTTTGGATTAGACGCTGGCCTTGGAAAGTTAGGATGCTGGCTGCGAAAAATGTGCCGCAAATGGCGTGCTGGTACTTCCACATTACTAATCTTATTTCAATAATTTTACGTTTCAAATGTACAATGTAATTTGATATTTATAGGAAAAGAATTGCAGCTTCCGCATGAGGATGCATTAAGCCCAGAAGTGAAAGCAATTAGGGATCAATTTAATCGTTGCCACTTAGCTGAATGTCGAGCTCGTATAGCTATATGTCGTAGGCGCTTATTAAAGCTGTACAAAGGTGTTTTCACTGGGACTGATTTAGTTAATTGGTTGCTTGAAGTTGGTATAGCACAAAATAGAGAAGAAGCTGTTGAATACGGTCGTAGCTTATTAGAAAGCAGGGTATTACAACATATCGATGGTACTCAACATTTTTACGATCAAAGTCTACTTTATACTTTTACCGCTTAAGTTTCGATCAAGTTCTACGGCGCATCTTATTAAAAATTCTGAAAAAAATTGAGGATAATAATTATGTTAAGATGTTGCTACTAAATAAATATAAAAATAGTCGCTTCAATATTTCAAAAGATATCCTCTTTTGTTATTCTATTCTATTCTTTTCTTTTCTATCTCTTTTCTCTTTACGTTTTCTATTTTTTACAACTAGGATTTGCAACGAAAAAATCGGAAAAAATTCCCTAAAATATGCCTTCATATACGTAGTGTGCCAGATTTTTTTCAAAATTTTTGCATACCACTAAATAGGGAAAATAGTCCAAAAACTGATGAATCGAATTTACCCTGTACAGGTAACCCCCCTTCATCGCGAAGGATACGTTCTGGACATGGTCGCGATAAGCGAAATTTCGCGATCAACGGGGGATTTAAAAAAAAATCATTTTAAAATTCGAAAAACATAATATAATTCATAATTCATTCATTTTGGTCCATGTTGCAAAAAGGAATCTAGATTCCCTTGTTTGGCCTCTCTACGTTTATTATGCAAAATTTGCTGATAACTGTCAAATAATCCGTTACAACCACGCTTTACAGCACTCACTCGCTCGTAATCTTCGTCGTTTTCTTCTAACAACTCCATACATTGTGAGATGATTGTGAAGAGAAAGGGCCTTTTCAATGATTTTGACACTTAACTTTCGCACAGGAACAGGTTCCCAGACGTAATTTTCTTGGGACACAGTTGGCAGTCCATTTCCTGCAGCTATTCATTAGTAGTTAATGGTTCGCCGTGTGATTTTAACAAAGTCTGAATATCATCTACATCAACACCTTCGATGCCTCCGGAAGTGGCTATAAGACTAATTTCATCGATGATATTTTGAATATCATTTTCATAATTAATGTGATCTTCAACATTTTCTCTGAGCAACCTTTTCCAAACACCATTCATACACGACTGGGTGATTTCATTCCACGCATCGCCGATGTTTCTGATAGCTTTCATAATATTAAATTGTTTCCACCAAACCCGCATGGTATCTCTATCACCTCCATCAGTTTCTTCAATGAGTTGGTGCATTGTTTTTCTTAAATAATAGGCTTTGAATGCTGCTATTGCGCCTTGATCTATAGCCTGTAAGATGGAAGTGGTATTTGGAGGTAAGAATACCACTTCAATAGAAAAATCAGTGCACAGAGTCTCAAGTTCCACAGGATGTCCCGGCGCATTGTCCAACACCAAAAGAGCTCAAGGTTCAACTCCAATATCCTCGTAATATTGTTTTATTGCTGGGCAAAAACAAGTTTTAAACCAGTCCATAAATAAATTTTGTGTCATCCAAGCCTTAGGGTTACTTCGCCAAAAAACTGGTAAATTGTTTTTAGAATAACCTTTCATGGCACGAGGAGTTTCTGATTGATAAATCAACAATGGTTTCAATTTTAATTCTCCGGATGCATTTCCACCGAGAAGAAGAGTTAGACGATCCTAAAAATAAACGTACGTGTTGGCATTCGTTTCCAATAGAGTCCCGTCTCCTCTACATTAAAAATTAAATTTGGTGGATAATTTCCCCTTTCCACAATTTCACGGAACTCCATTGGATATTTTTCAGCTGATTCTACGTCTACACTAGCCGATTCGCCAATCATTTTATGCAAGTTTGATCGTTTTCTAAATCGATCAAACCAACCTTTGCTTGCTTTAAAAACTTCTCTATGTTGAGAATTTTAAATGATCCCAAAGACTAAGTTAATAAATTTTCCATTTCTGTCATCAAAAAATTTCTGGTTCGTGAAACTTTCGTCGCTGTAATTGGAGTAAGACTTTCGCCAGCCTTTTTAATTTTGTCTTTTTGTTGCACAATTGATCGCACTGTAGACTCAGGCAATTTGAAATCCCTTCCTACAACTATAAATTTACCATCACTTTCCATCCTTTCTATAATTTTTAGTTTCTTTTCTAAAGTCACTACATTGCGAATTTTCTTAACCACATTGTCACATTGTCTTTTTCACATTTTAAAAATTACGAAGAGATAAAAAAATATATAGTTTGACACTGCAGACTGCAGCTAAGATTATACTCAGGGATAGACCCAAATGATGCACTGGCTCAACTGTATCAGGCACCGGCGTACGGCGTTCTTTTGTCTCACCCACACTCGTAAATTTACGTTATATACAGGTGTATGATGTGATTAAGCGAGAAAGAAAGTTAGCACGCACGTGCAATCATTCATTTTGACTTTTCCTCGCATGTTTCAAAGCCACACAAGTGCCAAGACAAAAAAAAGAAGATCGCAATATAACGAATCCGCACTCGCCGGGGTCGCGATGAACGGGGGTTACCTGTAACTACCCCCCAGGTCGAGCTAGAAGGTTGAAAGTTAGTGACAAATGTTTTCTTTCAGTAAGCTATCGAATGGTGTATCGTATGATCTAATTGGTTCAAGGGCTCTTTTGACCATCTTATCCTGCTAAGCCCTTTGGTTTCAATAGAATAGAATTTCTATCGTGAATATCTTAATAAATACTCATTTTAGGCATATTACATCTTCATACTTATTTACTCAGCTTTCAATGCTCTCTTAATTTCTAGAAAGAAATATAGGTTGTTCCATTTAAAAAAATTATGGTCACATTCAGAACTTTATATATAAAAACAATGTAGAAAAAAACAATTATTGTAACATATATCCCCCTTGAAATCATGCAATTTTTGCTTCATATACTATTTTGTACAGCTAGTATTTTACGAGCAATTTCAGGACGTCATGTTATATGAATCACTCTGTATATTGTATATACAGGGTGCGTCACGAATCAGTCCTCACAATTTTTTTGGCACTTCCGATCATCTGACAAAAGAATGTTGTGAACAAAACTTAGCCAGTACTCAATCGGCAAGAAATTGCAGATTTAAAAATAATCAATAATATTACTCTTCAATAAAAAATAAAGGTCACCAATTTTTTTCAATGGGACTAGGTATTTTTAAATACATAGTATTATAAGTGACGCTAAGACAAATTTAACGACCTAGTATACTATGTCCTTGTAATGATTTTGAATTCAGAAATCATCACGAATCGAATGCCACGTTATTTGACTTATTGCTAATTCGACAATACATAACGTCAAAGCACCGCATTCCGACGAAAACAAAATGAAAAACATGCACAAGGTAATACAAATAACTGGAAATTAAATTTTATTTAGGACGTATATACATACAATCAATTAAAGTAAATGTTCGAACTGCATCTCACTTTCTGCAACACAAAGTTCTGCTCTTTGTAATATATTCTAATGTGTAGCTTCAATTAAAGAATAAGTTTGTACACTTCTACATGCTTATATCATGCGTTATTTAAGATTTTCGGTGTTTTGACGTTATGTATCGTCGGTCATTAGGTCAAATATCGTGGCAATCGATTCGTGACGATTTCTGAATCCAAGGTCATCACGAGGTCATAGTATACTACGTCATTGAATTCGTCTTAACATCACCTATAATACTATGAACTTAAAAGTACATAGTCTCATTTAAAAATTATGTTGACCTTTGTTTTGTATTGAAGAGAAATGTGTTTGGCTATTTTTAAATCTACAATTTCTTACCGATTGAATACGGATAAAATTTTGTTTACAACAGTTTTTGTCAGATGATCGGAAATGTCAAAAAAATTGTGAGGACTGATTCGTAACGCACCCCCTGTGTGTGCGTATTTTTTTTTTTTATGATACAATAAGAATGCTTGAGAATAGAGTGATACAACAATATAATTAATTAAACTATATGCCAAAGATGAATACTAGTATTTAATATTGTTTTTAAATACTAGTATTATGCACAGTATTGACTTATTTTGTGGAAATAGTATTTTAGAACATCTGTATTTTTTTTTACAGAATTGTAAGATTTATATAGTTACTGAGGTAATGTTAATCATTTTACAGAGTGATACACAGATAAAATTCATATGTATCAAATGTTTTTTAAGAATCTTTATTATATAACTTTATTACAACAGTGCTATATATAATGGAAAAGCTATAACAAATTGTAAAATGTAAAACAGATATAAAATAAATAACTTTGCTAGAAACACTATTATATTGTTTTATAGCATAATATTCAGGGATTTTCTAATACATATCAAGAAATTAGAAACATAAGTCATCATCTGGATCTTCCTCATCAAAATCATCCATGTCTTCCGGTTGATAATGAATTTTAGATGTATTTACTACATTTGTGTTAATTAAGTATGGTAATACTGTTTCCTGTTTCTGTTTCATTTCTTTCTCATTTATTTCTATCCTGAATGAAGACTCAATTTTTTGTTTATAATTTTCATATGCAAACTCTGACTTTTTATCTTGTTCAAATTTTTCTGATTGAATTTCATAAGATGTAATACTTTGATTCACTAACTCTTGTTGCCTCAAAACTCCCCCACCTACTTTACGGTGTACAAATTCTACCATGTAATGGAGACCCTTGTTTATTTGTATGTCAGAAAACTTTTGTATCTTCACATGTGTAGTGCCCAGTGTTTCAATGCATGCTAATTTATTCTTTACAAAATCTTGCCTATAAATACATATTACTTGTGGCACTTGTGTACTTAACTTTTCCAAAAACCATAAGGCCTTTGACATACCAATAAATAACATCAAAGATGACAAACAATCAATTATTACTGTAGATTTTACACTTACAGATTTTAAAATATGTTCTAGACTATGAAAATCTTTCTTGTAAATAATATTAATATCAAGTTCGTTTATGTCAACTGTATAATAATCATAAATATTTACACTGTTTGACAAGAAAGGTCCAGGTTCACTTTGGTATGAAGATTTTGGACCAGAAAATAATAACAAATCAAAGGTGTGATTAGGATCTTTGACTTTTCTCATTTGTATCCATCCTGCAATCAATTTTCTTGCATACATTACATCCACTCCTGAAATATACATGAATATCTGCATAAATGATCTCTATCTGTAAGTAGAACATAATTTCACAAAGTATCTTTCTCTTACTAATAGGTACGTTCTTTTTAAACATAGTATTATCGCACCTTCATCAAGGACAATTAAATTTGCCCCTTCTAACAAAGGTAACATTTTTATAGACGTCATTGTGTTTATTGCAAATAAATGTTACGAATAGCAAATCATTTGTCGAGTCAATAACTTGCAGTGGACATGTACGACGGGAGTGCGTCACATTACAAACCGTGCAAAAATTTATTCCAATTGAAATACGCAGTTCAAAATTTAATTCCGAACTTAAAAGTCATGTTTATCTAACACGTGTATACACATTCGTCATGCAGCGTATTAAATTTAAAAACACTCTTTTTAACCAGTTTAATACTTTTCACTATTCGTAACCGCCTGGTAATCGCACGAATTATACAGTACATATAGAAGGGTATCCTATGTACATCTTTGAATTTTTGTCGCACAATCAACATTTGTTGTGCACTACCCTAAATTATCTTCAACAAAATATCGAGATCGGTCGTCAGGTGTCGCTGTGTTTGGCCCGAAAAGGGTGCGGTACACGGTAATCGCCATACTGGGCGAACGTGACCGAAGACAGAGCGAAAATGAATACTAGAGTGTGTGTCACATCGAAACTATTTCGCTCATAACAGAGGTTTTATTTTGACAGTGTAATTTGCGAGTGGCCCGCGCGATGTTCAGTACACCGGCCAAGCCCTGAGGGAAACCGACAAGCGTAGATCCGTGCGCGTGACCGCGTAAGATCAGAAATATCGCAGCTCGGGTTCCCTTGCTAAACGGGTTGTCGCTGCATGTGTCACTGTGAGTGCTGCTGTGCCACAGCACCGAACCATACCCTCGGAGCGTTCATCCCGTTAACATTTACGCGCTTATTATCTAAGGCAGTGCTCACGGTCGAACAGATGCGATATTGAGGGAATCCCATTGAATTACCACCGATGAGTTGTTTGGCCGCGTTGCGCTCTGTTCGGTGCTGCTCCTTCAACTAATCGCGTGTGTGATGCCCGGGAGTCGCTCCAGCACGGACCCAGAGCACAAGTCACCGCGGGAAAGTGGTGAAGATTCGGAAGATGAGAGTGAAATCCTGGAAGAGAGCCCCTGCGGGCGGTGGCTCAAACGCCGGGAAGAGGTATACTCGCTTTTTTACATTATTCATCCACTTATTTGTTTATATCTCATTTCTACACTCAGTTCGATTCTGTTCAGTTTAAACATGCTTCTGAACATTTTGCATATGTGTTCTGTTTGTTATAACTACTGTTCGTATTGTTCTTGTGAGCAATATGATTGTGGAGATTAGTTTTTTCTATGATGCAATTCATTCGCATTTCTGTTTCAATTTTGGGCACTCTATTGTGATATTTGTACATGATTTATGATTAAATGTTGGAATTGGGATGTGGTTTATGTGATTCTTTTCTGTGCCTTGACATTGGAATATATTTTGATAGATTTTTTGTATCTAATATGGTTGATAATAAGGAAGGTATCAGCGAATATTTTTGCAGGTGAAACCACAGATTTCTGTTTGTCATATAATCTTGTGTAATAATCTTGTCTAATACTTATTTATTTTAGAGGCTGGAGGAAGAGACCTATATTTGTATTAAAATTGTTAAATGCATTGCCTAGGATATATATTACCTAAAATGTGTTGAAGCTTCATAAGTTCAGCTTTCAAGCACCTGAAGAAAGGTTTTCTTAAAATTTATGTAAACATTAAGTGTTTTTGAATTCATGTTTGTAGATCAATCTCCAACTACTCCTTGACAGTAAGCTTTTACCAATAGTGGTCTCTCATATTTCATCTTAAGAATAAATCAACATAGTTGGATCATTGACTAGTTACATTAAGGAAAATACATTTCTATTTAAAGAATTAATTTTTTTTTTATTTTGATAAAAAGAAGCAAAAGTAAGACAATCTTGTATCTATCTGTTTTTCAATAACTATTGTTTTATGTTAGGTATATGTAGGTTCCAAGTCCACGTTAGCCGAAGGCTCTACCTTTGGAGCAGCCAGAGGCAGTGAAAACGAAGTCACTGAAATGGAGGTATGTCTATTTAAAGAAAAATAGGCTATCTCTTTCTTTTTATATACTCCCTCTAGTAAGATATTTAGTAAAAAAAAAAAGAAAAAATATTATAGCATAAGTACAAGCACTCTGCATATTTTTTTCAGTGTAGCCCATTGTTATGAGTGTCTGTAATGACAATCCGTGCTCTGAATTATTTCCCCTCCTTAAATTCCTTGCAAGGTCACATTGATGTAATGGCAAATAGGCATGCAATTGTTTGAGTTGTATTTTAAGTAACTTTCAACTGGATGATTACAATAATATACTTTGCCACTCCTTATCCATATATCTTTAAGATGTATGAATAATTTGGTCTTATTTTTATTGTATAACATATGTTCACTGTAAATACATATTAATATATAAAATGTATTTATAAATTAAACTTGTAAATAAATGGACTAATTTTTTTTGTGTAATTAGCTTGAGTCCTATAAATAGTTTTATGTGCATAAACTAAAGTATTCTTATAAATTGTATTATTTCTCATGTAGGTGGAACAACGTGATGTACCAGGAATCGACTGTGCCTATTTGGCAATGGATACAGAGGAAGGTGTTGAAGTTGTTTGGAACGAGGTGCAATTTTCTGAAAGAAAGAACTTCAAAGCGCAAGAGGAAAAAATACAGCTTGTATTTGAAAATCTTACACAGTTGGAACACCCTAATATTGTTAAATTTCATAGGTATTGGACAGATACCCATAATGATAAGCCAAGGGTAAGTAATTTAATGAAGAAACTAAATTAGATTAATCTTGAATGTTACTTATGCTTTCTTACATTATGTATCAGGTTATATTTATAACTGAGTATATGTCCTCTGGATCTTTGAAACAGTTCCTAAAAAGAACAAAGCGTAATGTGAAAAAATTACCCCTGCAAGCATGGAAACGTTGGTGTACTCAAATACTTTCTGCATTGAGGTAAATGATTCCTTGTATATGTCATAAATCTCTTAAGGGGATATTCTGGTCCAGCGCACGAATTTTATTTCCATTTTTCAGAATTTTTTTATGGGTAATCCAAGTAAGTGTAGTACACGAAATTTTTTCTAATAACTTAATCGCCCTTTTAACAATATTTATATATATATTTTTAGCGTGAAACAATAAGTGTAAGATGTCTGTATGAAGACATGAAAATTGCGTACACGTCCAATTGGTTGCCATGATTGCGTCCTTTATAGACGTTAGAAACAAATGATTCACAGAAAATTTTGTTCAGTAAGAACGTGGCTATCGTTTGAACCAAAATCATATGTTAAAATTAATTTTTAGCAAAATAACACCATGTTATATAGAAAAGTCCTTTCCATTGTGAGATTAATTTGTTAATTACAAAGGCAGTTTTGGAAATATCTTTATAATTTTGGTTCAGACGATAAAGACGACATTTTTAAATATCCACGCAAAATTTCATTAAGATCGGACACACCGTTATAGAGATACGGCAATAATTTCGCAAAACTTAGTTTCGAGAAAATCGCGTTTAAAGCTTTAGTTTAAGTTTAGATACAATAAAGAAAAATTAGATGCACTTATATTCAGTCAATATCTGCACTATACAGCGATCCTTCCTCTTCTTCATAAAATTCCAACTGAGCCGATTGTTCATATTTGCAAGCAATTCCGAACCTTTTTTGTTGCATCTGACTTACACTGCTCAGATTTGTTTCGACGTACCTTAGCTTCGTTACTGATAAAATTCTTTGTTCCAGGGACAATTTTCATTCCCATCGTGGCCATCATTTCTAAAAGAGTGCTAAATCCTCTATGAAATATGCAAACAGCCAGAAATGTTGCAATCTGAATTGTCATTGAATTGTGCTTCAGAGCAAAATTCCATATTGAAGAATTGAGACTCTCATTACTATTTTTCATGTTGGCTCCCACACATCTCGCTAATTAGTCATGTGAGGTCAAATGTTCATAAATCGGCTTTATTATTAATAAGACTACTTCATCTAGAGGCAGTATATCCTGTGTTTCTTAACTTACCTGGCGTGGAAGCTATTCGTTTTACGGGATAATTCGCGCACAGTTTCCTTTAGACCTCGATAATTTCGTTCTTTTTTTGATTTCAAAGAAACACTTGTGGCATATATTTTCAAGACTACAAACATTCGAAAAATGCAAAAATTGAAAAATCGATTTTTTGACACTTCAGACCAGAATACACCCTTAAACTATAACATTTATACACTTCTCTGATTATTAATATACATGTGTTATTTTCTTTTAATTTTTCAGTTATTTGCATTCCTGTTCACCTCCTATTATTCATGGAAATCTCACTTGTGACACTATATTTATTCAACATAATGGGCTTGTAAAAATTGGCTCAGGTAAGTAGTGGCAGAATATAGAGAACTTTCCATTCTATAAGACATTATTTGTCCAAGAGAGTACAGAGTCTTAATGTTCCTGTACTTTGTACATTGAAATACACTCTGCTAACAAATATCGATACATAGCTGCTCGTAGGTATTCAAGAGAGCATTTATCCCTAAATGAAATTATTTAGCATACATTGGAATAGGAGTTTGCAAGGCACTTCCCTTTTTTATTCACAGGACTATGAGAGGCTAATAGTTTTGTTTCTCATAATTTTCATGGAAGAAAACTAAAAATCACAATATAGGATTATTAATCGACCGACCAGTGATGTTAAAATAACCACTGTGACCTAACTGGTATTTATTTTGTTCTTACATGGGGTACAAACAAAGTACGTATATTGCCATTACTGTGATTGCCTCTTCGGCAACTCGTACGATAAGTCACAATCGACAGTAATAAATAGGTTTTATTACAGTTATTCGATTAATTTCTACTCATGATGCGTGATGCAATACGCGTTAATCTAATAATTAAACTAAAGGACGTGTAAATAGTAATTTGATAGAAATATTCTAATACATGAAAGCATAAATAATGTGTGAAAGAGAGTGTGGTTCAGTTACGTATTGTGAAGACAGTTTTACTCCATGCTATATAATTTAATGTCTAATTGTTAAATCTTATATAATGTGGTTAATCATATACTATTTCTACGAAATATCCCTGATAATTCTCCACTTTTAATTAGATTAGTTTATTATACAGAGAATCATTCCATATTAATCATTATTACTGTGTTTATTCAATGTAATATTCAATTCTCTCTTTGTTACTTTTTTTCTCTCTATATATATACATACTCTGTTTTTGTTTTGTCCTGTATACTATTAATAATAAGACAAATCTGTTAGAAAGATTGTGTATAAACTGCTTTTTACATATTAGGAATAACTTGAGTCCTCATTTTTAATTGTAGCAGATAGGCTAATCTAGATAAATGAAAAAAACACAGCAAAGTCTTCGAAGAGAGAAGGAAGTACAATCGTACTTTCGCCTGTCCAAAGGATTACGTCACCTGATAACGACGATTCTTCGGTTCTGGTGTAAATTGAATGAAAAAGGTGGTGAATTTGAAGAAAATACATTTGGCAGATAATCATCGACTATTGCCAGCTAAGTAAATTAGGCATAATGAGGTAAACATTCCCATTTATGTATGTATACGTATATATATAATTAATTAATGGTAGAATGATTCATATCAAATGTTCAACATTTATTTAATTTTAATACGATTAATGCCATTACGTTGCACTATTCATCTCCTGAATTAATGAATTTACGATTAACGAAGAAGAGCAAAGAGTTTCGTAAGTCTCTTGGCCCTTCTCTGGCCATCACCTCAGCATACACATTTTCATTGTATTATAATCATTTTTTTGTACCCTTATCCACAAATAAAATAAACTCCTTTGAATTTCATTTTCCATGCAAAAAGGATAAAAAACATTCTACCATGCTCGATGAAAGTGTCTCTATAAAATGTGAACATAATCCAAAAATAAACTGTAAATTATTTGCTTCTGATTACGACTGATTGATTGTGCTCTGTTTGTCCTACTTTTTATATACAGGCTATGTTTGCCCCTTTCAGAGGCACTTTCGTGCATCACCGTATGTTACAATGCGAAGATTATTAAGCATACGAGGGCTCAAGTTACTCTTAGGATAATTTTTAAGTTACAACACAATTTTTCTAGCAATTTATCAGATTCACTCTTGTTACCACGTTTGAGGTGGCGGGTATTCGAAAGAGAATGTGCGCTTTTCGCATTGCTTGTTAAATACTTTCATGCAGATATTTATATGTATATACATTTTGTGAACAACCTAATTGGAAAGCACATTTTTTCTCAAGTAGCTGTATCCTCTTTTTTTCTCGTTACAGTGGCTCCCGATGCCATCCATCATCATGTTAAAACTTGTAGAGCAAACATGAAGAACATGCACTTTGTAGCGCCAGAATATGGAAGTGAGTTTACTGAGTTATCATAGAATGTTACTATATACATTATTGAATGCATTTTACTTCAACATTTCATGTTCTTCAGATTCTGTAACCCCTGCCATTGATATTTATTCGTTCGGTATGTGTGCCCTGGAAATGGCCGCGTTAGAAATTCAGGGTAACGGTGACACCGGCACGATCGTCACCGACGAAAACGTACGGAAGACCATAGAATCTTTAGACGATGCCCAGCAGAAAGACTTTATCCGAAAATGTCTTCAAGTAGATCCGCTCAGTAGACCAAGCGCGAGAGAACTTCTTTTTCATCCTGTTCTCTTCGAGGTGCATTCGCTGAAATTACTTGCTGCTCATGCTTTGGTTAATTCAGCCAGTAAGTTGAATAATACCTCTTTCACATGTCGTGTGCTTCAAATGTATCTCGATATTTTTTTTTCTTTTTGTAGCAGAATTAGATAATGTAACGAGAGTCCATAAAAACCATCTGACATTCTCTACTTTTTCAGCTAATATTTCAGAAACGATAACGGACGAAGTATTACAAAGGTTATACGGACCTGATACGGTAGTCGCTGAAATTAAGTATCAAGGACGACCGCCGCAGCAAATACGATTAAGTGATATCCCCGTTACAGAGAAGTTGGAGAAGTTTGGTTGTTGGTCAATAAAAAAAAAGAAAAGAAAATTATCGATGATTTTTCCGGATCGACAGGTACGGTATATACCCCCTGACAGCATTTATGGCAAAACTACCACCACCTGTTCGACCAAGGGCGATATCGCCCGAGGTAACTGAGTCTGTGAAATCGGTTACGCCAGAACCGGTAGACGTGGAGTCCCGACGAGTAGTTAATATGATGTGTAACGTTAAGCCTAGAGAAGAAAGTTGTGAATTACTTGTGAGTGCCATTACAAAAACAAAAAAGAACACAAATGTCAGATTAGTTAACCTAAGTACATCATCATCAAATTTTTTTTATTTTTTATCCTGACGTATTTTATAGATGACAATATTATTACGAATGGATGACAAAATGAATAGGCAATTGACGTGTCCCGTGAGTCAATTAGATACTTCGATGCTTCTCGCGCAGGAGCTTGTACATTTTGGATTTATTAACGAGGTGGTTATTCCATTAGATATATATTCTGATATATTATGATTTGTAAGTAATATTTGTTACGTTATTATTGTTTGTTCTAGAACGATCGTGATAAAATAGCAAATTTAATCGAAGAGGCATTAAGGAGTTGTTTTAACAAGCAACTATTGACGCCAGGAATAGTATCGTTAACCAATCTTCCCACCCAGACTACTCTACTGCTGCCTGGTCCAGAATTTCCATGTTTGCAACACTTTGATAATTCTATGTATAACGCGACAACATCCAATAGTGATAGTGTAACTAACCCGCTGCCAAAAACCTCAGGTCTCCCCGTGTCGAGTAACGCGAGCAAGAGTCACGATGAAACGGAACCACCGTCGAATGCTGAGAGCGGTAGTTAACCATCCAGGATATCTGGTAACTCAGTTCACTGTGCCACTTTGCACGCTCTATGTATAGACTGGCTATGTATTTTTATATTTAAGTAAACAGGAAGAAAGAATGGAATTAAATGATTAAAGAAAGGAAAAAAACAGAAAAGAAAAAGGAAAAAAAAAGAAAAAAGAAAGGTGCCGTGGCTAAAGCACTAGGCTAGAAACACGTTGAACGCGATAGAAATCGAATATTCATTTTTATTTCGAGAATACAATATTTTCTTTTTATAAGATACGTGTTCCGCATATTCGACATGTCAAATTTAATTTAATTGAACCATCAACTTTTTAATTTTTTTTCATTTTAATTTTTTAAAATTAAATTTTAAGGTAGTTTCGAAAGTTAGGTTATACACACTGAAGAACGTGCTTTACGATATTTCAGTTAATTGTATAGCTAAGGAGAACGAATTTGTGTAATGAGTATCGATAAAGCTGCGTCTAGTTAATCACAGATTAATCGTAGTCATTTGTTATTAGGCTGAAATAATAAAGGGCATTTCACTAGCGAACGTTTCAATTCGTCGGAAGGAGAACAAAAATAAATACTTGAACGAATTATTTGAAGTAATGATTAAATGTTAAAATGCCATCTGTCGTGAAGTGGCGAGATGTATCATAGGAAATTTATTTTGTATATACGAATTGACACAGATTAAAAGAGGGAAGAAATGATCTAATTGTTAGGTACGGAAGAATTGTTCGATCGTACAGCAACACGGAAATGATTAAAAAGAAAAAAGAAAGGAAAGACTGTGAACTCCGCACTTGTTATGCTTATTCAATATGTATTGCGATTAGACCCGATTCTGAATTATCATGCTTTTTTTTTTTATAAGAATCAAATAAAAGAATTAGATTTTTTTTTTTATTGGTTATAGAAATCGAGAAGAAAGAGTGGTAACGTGTATTGACGTTTCGTGGATGAGAATGTGATCCAATGGCCACTCAAATACAGTTTTATTTTTGTTTTTTATTACTTTTTTTTTGTTTTTCTCTATAGTAATCGGATGATACAGCCACGGCCCTCCTATACTTCGGTATTATTGATGTGATTAAACCAAGGTTATTAAATCTCTATAAAATTAGCTGAAATCCTTGTAAATAATTTATATTTTTAAGAAAATCTGTTGACACAGAAAACTAGTCATATAGGTATATTCGAGTGCTAACAAACTAACACCGACCTTATTATGTCTTTTTTGCATTTATAACACGTGCTTGGCCAAGAGATACTATTCCGACATTTTTTCGTACCTCGGTAAAAAAAATGAAAGAATTTTCAAAGAGAAAAATTTTCAGTGACGCATTTCACTAAGCAAACGACTAACCATTACTAGCGGTAAAGAGGCAAAATGAAAAAAAAAAGAATAAATAAAATAAAGCAACAACAACAACTATTACCAACAACATAAACTTCGATCTTAAGTATGTAAGTAGAGTATTGAACTAAAAATTGAATGTATAGCTTTATAATTCAAATTATAAAAGGAAAAAACGGAAAAAAGAAAGTGCGACGACAACTGAATCGTGGATATTATCGAAATGGGCTGTACGATGACAGTGATAAATAAATACTATAACTCGGAATTACACTGCCTGAAATTTGTTTTCGTGCATTGATACTCTTGTTGCTCCTGTCTTCCTGATTATCAGTCTTTCTTTTATTCTTTCACACACATGCTTATACCTCGACGTTGATATTGACGTTAAAAAGGAAAAGAATAATATGGAGTCTGTGGTTCAGGAAGAAACATGAAGTCTGATGATCCTGTATTCTATAAAAATTTATTCGTGTACATAACTTGTGTGTGTGTGTGTGTGTGTGTGTAAAAAGAAGAACACGAGATGTCTTCCACGTAAAACACTTTTTTTTAGTGGATGGAGTGTATAATGAAAAATGTCATTACAAAGAGTCTTCTTTCACGATTGATATTCTTTCTTAGAGACATTTAATGAGATAGATTAGAGAGAAGGAGGGAGAGGGTGAGAGAGTCCGAGATAGAGCGTGTATTTATAAAACGAAGAGTGAAAGGGATGGAGAAATTCTGCACATGTGATCTTGTTTAGCTTAACATGCTGCAAGCGTAATGCAATACTTTTACAACGCTAGAGTATTTGTTACGTGATAAGAAACATAACGCTGAACGATATTATAATGATAATGATAATAGTTAACTGTTTCTTTTAAAAGTACTGTGTCTGTTTATTCATGTTTTTGTTTGCATGGTTTGTTAAAATTGTACATTTTACAATCTAAGTATTTCCACTTCTGTGACTTTACAGAACAGGTAGAAATTCTTTACGAAATCAATTTTGCATTCATTTATGTTAGTGCTGTTCACATTTTGTACGATTTTCTCTTTTTCTATACATGCCCATTAGATAGTATTCGCTAATATATATTTCTCACACATTCGTTATTCAACATTCATATACTGTAGTAACAAGTTATTCCAGAATGTACATCGAACAGCACTGAATTACGCGTCACCAAATAAACCAGGTCTACATGATACAATGCTTCGTTGAACGATAGTGGTGGGGGGTATGCCTTGAGCGGTTAAACAATTTCCTCCAGACTATAATTCGAGAGTTAAGTCCCATCTGTAGAATGGGTACGATTCAGCAAATAGTCAAGGTCATGCGCAATACGATCCAGCATACCACTGGCCGTGGCTTCACAGTTTGTGATCACAATTTCCGGCGCTTTCTCTTCTCCATCCGGTTGCTTTCGTTCCGTGGTGTTCGCTATGTCGGGTATAATGTTCACATGTTCTCTGCTCTTCAGCTCCGTCGATGTCAGTAGTTCAACGTCGTTTTTCACAGCCAAGGTCACGTCTGGCATTCCACTTAAGCGAGATTCAACATCCGCACTGCACAGAACCTTGGACGAGCTCTCTGGCGACACATTGTGCGCTATAAAGATTTGCCCTTGAGGTTCTCGATATTTACCGTACTCTCTGAAACTGCAGCACTCGCCAGCGTTATAAGGCTCGTTTACACAATGAGATGCCCGCGTTGAGAACACATGGTCAAAAGCTATGGTCTCTTGATACTTTCGCGGACTGGTGCTGTAATTCTCCAAATTTATGTCGTCCGTGTGATCAATTCGGATTTCTGGTAAGAACCTGCCAGCTACAGGGACTGAGGGTTTTGAGTACGAGCTCGACGATTCGTTCACGAATTCCCGCATGTCTATACTACCCGCTGCTATTCCACGAGCCTCCAAGTATGGTTCACCAATGCTCAAGGAGGATGGTGGCGGAGCTGTATCGTTCTCTACTTCGGCACCGCTCTTTGAGCACACTAATAAGGAGAAAATAAATTCGTTTTAACCATGTGAATGGAAGGTTAGGTGTAGTTGAATTGAATGAGCACCTTTGATTGGCTCGGACGTTATCTCCTCTTCCATATTCTGTTTCCATTTGAGCTTGGTCAGGATCAAGTCAACGATCGCTAAATCTCCGTTCATAATGTACACCATTATTATGACGAAGCCCTAGATTTATTATAAAATGTTGAAGATTTAATATTTTTAAGTGTTTTTTTTTTTAGTGATTATTAGTGTGGTTGCTTACCAAAACGGAAGAGAGAGAGGCAAATATGTAATGGAAGATAATGGAGGTGGAATTTATGTAGAAGATTGATGAGGCCTCCGTTGCTATTACGCCGCAAATCACGATGGCAGCTCGATGAAGCATTCGTAGCCTGAAGAAAATGAACGTTTCGAACTTTCCATTCTTATTGAACAATTTTTACAACTATACCTCGCCTCTATAGCCTCCTTTTTCATAAAGTTCTCTTCGACAAGAGCGTGTGCCTTGTGCAATATTCCCAGGTACAATAACACGAATATAAGAAACATCATCGTTGCGCAAGTGACGAATATAGTATAGACACCGCTACCAAAGATCAACCACCACGACTCGTGCCTCCATCCGGTGCTCTTGTGCGTAAGTTCCGTGCTCAGTACAGCCAACACTGGAACACCTGCATCCAACAAAATGCTTAACAAAAATTTATCGAAAAATGTTTAATTAATTTTTGAAGTACTTATTCGAACCAGTGATGACTGCAATGACGGTAGGCTGGAAGTGTTGACTAGATCGAACTTGAGTCAAACCAGCGTAGATAATTAGGGCTTCGGATATCGGTGCAGACATGCCAACCAGGAGAAGGGCTTCCAAAGTGGTCGCCACAATTGCATAAGAACTCTAAAATAAATAACAATTGTACAAATAAATTAAATGATAACAATTAAGTAATAATTTTACCTCTGGTAGATGACTGTGCACAGCATAAATAAAAACAGCCATCGCTCCGACTAAAGCACCGCAACATTGAAGCTTTAAAAAGTTTAACCAGTTACGATTCTTCCACCAGAATGATCCCAGAATCAAAGAGGAGAAGAGACACTGTGCCAAACAGCTACCACATCCGAATATCACGATGAACGTAGTCTGCTCTTTTTTTGCTAGCACTACCTGAAGATGATGTTACATTCAAAGGTGTTCTGCTTCTCTTGACACAGCCTGCACAGTATGAACTTACTCTGACTGCACGTGCTGTTAGAAAAACCGCGAAAGTCCCACTACTGGGACACAGACAATGTGTGCTAGCATCTCCTGGTAAGGTGTTAGCAATACAGCTCTTCAGATCCCAGAAACCTGTACCATCTATCATACCACATGACACATTCCAGGTGTTCGATTGGTTTTGCACGTGTTTCATCTGCAGGTCCACCCAGATCTTATTGTGTTTATCTAGACTGAACGCAGGCACTGCCACTGTGACTAACCGAGAATTGATACGGAACTCCAGATCTGTACCATCACTGTAAAAAAGAGGTGTTCTTGAAGTCTATTTAATTAGCTTTAATAGTGTTGTTACTTACTCGAGTTCCTTCACGTATGTCGCTGGAAGAAAATGGGACACGTTCTTATAAACGATCACGATTACATTAATCGTATTGTTAAACTTTACACCACGTTGTAGTTTCTTCCATAGACGTATCGTCGTCTTACCATCATACCAATTTGGATACCTGTAAACGATCAATGATATAATTCAGTGAATATGGTGTTATTCAGTACACGATAATTACATGGAGTCCTTTGTAGGGATTTGAAGAGAATGAGTGATACTGTCTCCACTGTGTTGTTGCAATTCTTGAATATCTATTACCAAGGACGAGAGGGACAAATGCTTGTAGGGATGAGTTGTTATCGTGGACCAGTGTATCAGGCTTCTCTGAGTAATTTGAAGGAGTAACAAAACTTTCTGAAAATTAGACACTTGTGACTTCTTTTTACTTTTGCATTTATTCCAATTAAATTCACTGTTACCTGTTGACTTAAGATTGAATTCTCATCATTCAGTATTCGACTGATTATACGTATCAAAGGCTCTGTTGATGAGTGCAAGTCAGATGACTCCATATTATGTTGATAACGTTCTATTTCTGCCAGTGTGTTCAAAATACGATCCCCTTCGCCAGGATAAAGAGACAAGCCACGCGATCTCAGGGTCTCCCAGAACACAAAGATGGTTTCAGAACCAGTGATATTCTGGTAGCCTAATGTCAAGCTTTTAAACTTGTTATAATGTGAAACCAGAGGTTCGTACAAACAGGAAGAGAAGTCAGGCGTCTGCCATTCAGGCGTGGTAGCGTCTTTCATTGAGCACAGTCTGGACACCCTCTTTCCCACAAAGTGCTGAGGACACTCTAACAGTGACTCGGATCCCGGAGCTGTGTCTGGCCAAATTAGACCCCAGGACTTTTCTCTCAGGCAAATTGGTATCAGTGTTCGATTAACCACCTCCACGCGAACAGACATGGACTTGTCTGCTACATTGCAGGTGTATATTGCAGATTTCTAAAAACATTATGCAAAGATGTAGATCTTTTTAAGGAAAAATTTTTGGAATAGTACTGTATTATTGAGTGAATACTTCACCTGTGCATTTGTGATCTTTAGTATACTACCAGCAGGATATAAGTCCTCCCAGACTTCACTACCAGGTTCTAATTTCAATAGTGCTCTATTCTTGGTCCAACCAAAACCTATTCCAATGTTAGGCATGTTTGGTGTCATGCATGTCAATTGAATGTTACTTCCCTGAAAGAGGAATCAATTTAGAGAATGAACACTTGAATTTTCTATATGGTTAAGAGGTGGTTTTCAAAGTTACTTTGTCTATAGTGGCACTCATAGGCATAACCTTAACATCAGGCTCATCTCTGATGTTTATATAGATACTTTTACACTGCTGAACACCCCAGTCAATTATTTGACAGGTATACTGACCCGCATCTAGTAATGTCGCTTTTTCTATTGTTAATAGTGATGTGTGTAAATCAGAACCATCATTGGGAACGTTTCTATACCAAATTTCCCTGATGAATGAAAATGATCTTATTTATCAGCTTGTCTGGGCGTCTATCTACCGCTAACTATAGTGTATCTAAATGTATTTGATCACTCAAGGTCACTTGATTTATTCACCTGGTTGCTTTGTTCATGTTCACCCGCATACTGTCCTTGTACCAGGTGAAGTTTATCCCATAACTGCCTTGAGCAGTGCAAGACAGGATGAATTGATCTCCCAGATGAACTTCATGCTCGTTCCCTTGGTTCAGTTTGAGACTCTAAAGAAGTATACATCAAAATAAACAAAATTTATGAGGAATTATGATTGATGAAGATCGCGGATTAGATACCTGCAATTTGAGGGCGGGCTTTTGTTGAAATGTGAAATGTGTGGATTCAAGGGAAATCTCGTTAAGTCGTCGACGCTGGACCAATTTGTTGAGAGATTCTCGAATCTTGTCCCCATCCTCTGAGTTTCCGAAAAAGTGGAAAATGACTTCCGACGTGGGTCTATGTGAAGGATACCAAAATGATGAAAAAAGGTCTACTTCGATTGATATCTATTTTTGTTCCTTTTCTTTTTACTACGACGTACTCTTCTTTCGTTAAAGGCTTGGTGATAAAGTAACTGAACTCTTTATTGTTTAATGTACCTACTCACGTCACGCTCAGGATTTCTAAATCCTCCATGGACGAGATATTCGAGTTCCTTAAATATTTTGCAAGCTGCGAAGAAGTTAGAATCCGTTAAAAAACATGGCGGTCAAAGGATACCAAAGGAAAGGAATTATGGAAAATAACAACTACCATTTTATATCTAAACAAACATGTATATATTATTGCAAAATAATCATCAATTTATAACAACGACTTATACTTCATTTTTATAAATTCAACAATTATAAAATAAATATTTGATCTTTTTGCTACGTATAACATATACAAAAACATGTATCAGCATGATCAACACGTTCGTTTATCTCCCTTGAACGACCATCAGCAAGAGTCATCATATTTCAGATCTACACAGAAATCTCAGCCCTTATCACAAGAGCAGTAATCTCCATTATCGACGGCGCCCCTACCTAAGGGGAGAAAGACTGACTTAAACGTTCTTTCTGTCTTCCACCAATCATCCAACAGCTCTTCTTCGTGGAGAATTCTTCGTGCAATTTTGTCTGACTATAGTCAGTCGTAAGAAATTCATGCCCGATGTTCGAGTTGGTTCTAAATTTCACTTCGGTGTGTCGAGAAAATATGGATCGCCATTGGAAATCAGCACGCACGATAGATCTCCGGTGTCTGGACACAGATGCTCTCGTATCCTTTCTCTGGATACCCGTAACACTTTGATACCTATTTCGCGACAATACGCCTCGAGCAGGATCATTTGCAGGTGGCTGGCGGAATCCATCTCGGTGTCGAATGGCACGAGGCAGACGGTGCCTTGGCTGTTCTCGCATTCCTTGGATGCCAGAGCTTGGAGTGTAGGCAGCATGCCGCACGTTATCGTGCCTCTCGGGCATCTGGGTTCCTTCTGTTTTGGCCACGACAGGTTTCCACTGAAATTCGAACAAAATGAGTACTCTAAACTTTTTTAGAATTTTTTTTTTTTAGAGAGAGAGAGAGAGAGAGAGAGAGAGAGAGAGAGAGAGAGAGAGAGAGCGCTTGGTATAAGTCATTAATTAGATATGGCAATTCGAGATATTACAAAAGTCGAAAGCAGAATTGCATCGCACAAGCACTCTCAGCAAGTTCGTGGCGCCTTTCGCACGTCACGTGTTGTCCGAAAACGTGACTAATTATAAATGTCAAAAGATGACAATACACTACCTGTCTGTAATCGAGGTGGCTCCGTAAGATCGAATGCTTTGGCAACGTGTCATATCGGTGAATATTTGTCCCTGATTGCTTCTCAGTTTGGTAGTCCCTGGCGCGCTTCTCTTGCACACTTCACTGAACGTTGGAATTTTCTCGTCTTTGATCGCCAGTTTACACAAATGGTATAACACTCTCGTTTGAATTCAACGATTCACTGATTCACTAATATTCTCTCGTGTAGTAGCCTAATGATTGGCACGCACGAATCTTTTGAACACGATCTTACGTAACGGTGAAAAACTTCCATGAATTGCCGTATCTGGTGAGTACCAACGAAGCGATTCTCACAGGTTTTGGCAACGAGTAACATTGACGACCGGCACGCGTCGCTTTTATATGAGCCTAACCCCACTACATGTCATGCGCTATATATTTGCGGATATTCCAGATAAAGCGTACCGAGTCTATGTCACAGAATGGAGCTTTTTATCGACGAATCGGTCACGAAAGCTGTTACCGAGAAAACGAAGTAACAAAGAAGAACGAAAGCTTCACGATAATCCCCTGTGTGTATTTTATAACCTTTATAACCACATGGCATGCAACGCAATCGGGAGACACTTTGATGGTAATTAGTACGTGTGGCAATGCTACCTGATAGTTCAGATTTAAGGAAAACTTTCCGTTATCAGTTTTCCTGGAGTCGTTGCGTTATACTTTGTTAAATTTTCAAATGTATATTTACTGCTAGGTACAGTAAAATGTAGGATTTATCGTGCTTCGACGCGTAAGGTTACAATCGCAAATATTGTGATGCGAAAGCTTCCAAAGATAATCCGTAGGAAAGTAGCAACGTCACGACAGGTAACAATATGCATAGCTGCAGGTGCAAATGTACCTTACAAGGAGTCGCACTAAAGTAGTGTTCGGGTCAGGAACTTTGTTCCTATATCGCCTCTCTGTATTGCACAGATCCATGCTCTTAGAGAGAGAGAGAGAGAGAGAGAGAGAGAGAGAGAGAGAGAGAAGACAGAGCCATGGGTTAGAGGAAGAGAGGAATACTTCGGTTGTCGAATGAGATGGCGTTTCTTAATGTATACAATGACAATCTCGTCTAACTAGCAATGTTTTCGGCATCTGATCATGCATGATGTAAAAGTCAGGTACAAATATCGATATTATCACATATGAATATCCAAAACGATCTATAAATAATAGATAGTAAAATTATAGTCAAATTTGTTTGGTTAGCAAGTTTTCCATCTATTTTCCGCATCGATTGATATCACGTGGCCATATCAAATACATATGATGCAAACAACGATGTCTTGGTTATTCGGTTTCATCAGCCCTGCAGTTGAACAGGTTGGCTGATAACCCAGGTGGAAATCTACCTGGGAATCACGGTTTTCCACGAGGAATTATTGAAACATCGATACCCGGCATCTGCTTTTGTCTCATTATCTCTCTATCTCTCTCTAATCCTTTTTCAAACGTATAACACTTTACGGAAATGATCACCGAACACACTAAAATTAAATTTGTCGCTGCGTAACACCGTTAATTCCGATACACTACAAAATTGACTCATTAGGTAACCAATTGGTAATTTAATCCCCCGTTTACACGGTCAATTGGTAATGTCCACATTGAAATAGCGCAAATCGAGATTGCTTCGATCATGAATTTATATCTTTCAAATTTATAAAATGTTTACGAAAATGTCATCAGCTGGTAAATTTTCCATATTTTTTTTAACAAAAACAACATGGTAACGAGTTACGAACGGTCAGCCACCTTAGGAAGTAGCGTATGCGCGCGCAGCCTTCGGGAATCCCAAACTCCTTGAACAAAAAATCTGTAAAAAAGGCTGATTCTCGGTAATCAGCCGTCTGAAAATACCGGAAAAACCGTGCACCCATTCATGCACCAAATTCATTCACCGCGTGGTTGATGTATCAGTTTCCAGTGGAATTTTTATTAAAATGTTACGTTTCATGTGCATGCGGAGGAGCAGGAGTTCTCGATTTGGTGAGTTTCAATACATCACACGTCTCGATCGTTTTATACTTTCGATTCGATGAATGAACGAATAACCTTGGTCCGTTCATGACACTCTCCGTCATTGAACTTTCTCCTAATCAATTTATATACAATTTCATTGATTTTATTAATTAAACAAATCTTTTTGTACGTTTAAAAGCATGGAGATTGTTCCCCCAGGGGAGTCGAGGAATTTTGTGGTCCTTGCTTTTTAAAATTATGGCGCAATCGACCCCTCGATTGTTGTAATCGAACATACAAGTTGTGTGGCGCCGCCGAGTTCTTTAATATACAAGTCTCAGCTGAGCATAATCTTATCGTTTTCGTGGCAAAGAGAGAAAAAGGAAACGAATCGGTATTTCTCGGATAAGATGGCGACTTGTGATATCGTTCCGGGAAGGTAACGGCCTTATCGGGACTTCAGATTCCCCCTGAGCGTTTTCATAATATAAAAGTAAAGAATGATACACGCGAATATATCTTTTATATATATATTTATGTATTTATAACTTCCTGAAATATGTTCTTATTTTGATTAAAAAAAAATATCTCTTGTTTAGGCTGTTGGATAATTATGAAGAAATCATTTCTTTCACAAGAATCTTATAAAAGAAGCCTCTCCAAGAATTGCACGTGCATCAACGGAGGAAATGTGTTTGATGAAATCGTACGACGCAAGCCAAAGGTGACTCGTACCATTTTTCAACATACTAAAATGTCGAGAAACCATATGAGGCCAGAGATGTAGCTGTTCCTATTGACTTCCAAGCGTGCGATGTACCATGTCTCGTTTGAAAGTATTTCAGAAGAGGATGAAATAAAGAGGAAGGTCTTCCAAGAGCCATTCTGGTCTATTTATTGGCCAGGTGAACAGACGCTTACTAGATTTATATGAGACGACGGAAACGAACTTGTTTTCGTCCTCGAGGGAGGTCTTGGACATTGGGGCTGGATGTGGTGCTACTGCTATCCCGGTAAAATTAACAGGTGCCAAGAGGGTCGTTGCAAATGATATCAATGAAGGTCTGCATCGATTAAGAATACACTTGTTGTGCAATGAATGAAAGAGGTTGAGTTTACTTTGGATAATATATTAAAATATTTTAATATATTTTCCTCAAAAGGGGAATCAACCTGCGTCAAAGGAAATTACAGATCAAAGGAAGAATAACAATAAGCAAGGAATCCCTGAATAGCCGCTTTTCATGGAAAAGAATTCCAGAGAGATCATTTATCATTCGAAGAAGGAGGAATAGTTTATTTATAAACGTACCGTGAAAAGGAATTTCACGTCTCCCCGTACATTTTCAGCCGCGATAATTGCCTAGGGACACTTATTATTCTATCGTCTGCAGTGGAAGTTCCTCGCGACACTAGAGGAAAAAGGAACGGGAAAGAACCGAGTGCGTTGCGCTTACAATCGCGTTAGACGTAATAAAACCAGTCGAACCGCTGGAAATACCGTAGATTGCAGAAGGAAAAATAAAAGTAATATTTAACGTCACTCCTTCACCTGGCGAACAGGTAGAAAAACCGAGGAGAGACCTGTGTGAATTTGGTCAATGAATGATGATCGATACTGGGTCTTGCACACATACCATTGAAGTTAATAATATATACTGGTGTGCTATAAATAAAACAGATGACTGGAAATATAGTGAAAGATGATATAGCTGAATCTTAACATATTATTAATAATTATTAACTATACTATTCCATTTGCAAAATTTCTATTTTAACAAAAGGTCTAGCAGGATAAGGGGGTCAAAAGTGCCCTTAAACCAAATTTGTCTTGCAATGGACCATTCGATAGCTTGCCGAAAGAAAACATTGGATATCAAGTTTCAACCCTTTATCTCGACCGGGGGTAGTTACAGGGAAAATTTGGATTATTAGTTTTTGCTCTATTTTCCCTATTTAATGGTATGCACAAATTTTGAAAAAAATCTGGCATATACGAAGGTATATGTTAGGAAATTTTTCCTGACTTTTTCGTTGCAAATCCTAGTTGACAAAAATGAAAAACACAAAGAAATGTGCATTTTCTTTGAAATATTAGAATGACTATTTTTATATTTTTTTAGTAGCAACATCATAACATAACTATTATCCTCAAATTTTTCAGATTTGTCGGAGAGTAGCGTAGATGGTAGCGTAGAGGAGATACAAAAGTCAACCCTGTTTTTTTAAATGGAATAATATAGTTTTTTATTTACATTCTGATAGAGCGTTTCAAGACGAATACAATGACCTATATGAAGGTCATTCAAGGTCTTCTCTACGCTACCATCTACAAAAAAATTATTGACATCAGATTATGTGTCCCTGGAAACCAAGCAAGTTTGATTTGATACATTTTTTTCTATCATCAAAAGCAAGCGAGTTATTCAGGCGACCTGTTTTACATGCCCCACCATATATTAATTATGTATTTTTAAACTACGTAACTACAAGTCATGCGCCAAATTTTTTTCAAAATTTTTGCATACCTTTAAATAGGAAAAATAGTCCACAAGATTATGAACCTAAACCACCCCGTAACTACCCCCTAGATCGAGCTGAAGGGTTGAAAGTTGGTGTTAAATGTTTTCTTTCGACAAGCTATCGAATGGTCCATCGCAAGACGAATTTGTTTTAACGGTACTTTTGATCCTCTTATCTTGCTAGACCCTTTTTAGAAGGAATTAGAAAGAACACAAGAACTTTGGAACAACTCGGGAAGTCAAGATCGGATACACTTTCTGAACAGACCAGTTTCAGTTTTTTTATTTTACAACAGGGTCAATGACTTGCAATTTCAAAGGTAAATAGAAGTGAAGAAGACAAGGATGTTGTTAGAGCTTCGTTGGCACGATTTATGGCACGACCGTACCGAACGGCTATTTTTGAGTTGCAGAATTTGCTTTTCCATTCATACGCGTTTCCGGCCATCCTGCCGGGGCAAGGCAATTAGTTCGTTATATTTTTTAGAAAGTCGTGTCTCCTCGCGCTCGATAGCTGAAGGACCTACCATAAACTACGAACTCCGAAGGGTACAACTGGCCATGCCGGTATTTTCACCGACCAGTCACCCAGAGGAAATTCCCGGATTGTTACTAACTTTCGCCCCCCTTATAACCGTCTCCCACCCTTCCAGAAAGATCGCGCTAAGGGCGCACTGGAAGGGCGTGGGCAGCACGGCTAGATGAGCTGATTGGTAGGTAATTTTCAGAATTATCTGCCAATCAGCGTGTCTTTAGTTGGACGCGTCTCGAAGACGCTCAAGACGAAAAAACGAGAGTCAGTTCAGCCAAGAACAGCAGCAAGTTACCACTTAGAATCCTGGTAGAATATATAGTCTATTTCTTGAAGTCCAGTGCGACGTGGAAAATAAATAGAATTTGTTCCCTGAAGATATCGGGGTGGTCCTTCGAGAAGTCAAATAAAAATAAAGTCGGCACACCACGTGCAAACTCAACAAGGCTCGACAATAGATTTGCGAATCATTACCACGAGCATAAACAGATGTTTCAACGCCGATTTTCCATTCAAAATGAAGCTCCAATTGTTTGATTCTATAAAGAGGTCAACGACTCATGACTAAAAGTCTACGGAAATTCCAAACAAATAATGAAACGCGCCTCGACGAATTTATATCAGTTACTTGAGTGTCGAACGCCTGTTAATTCATTGTTGATAATGTATATACATATACTTGAACATTAAGACAATGAATTAAAGCGTGTTCCAAGAATCGATGTAATTGGTTTAAACTACCTCGACTCGAGCCACGTTATTTTTAATTGCATTTACGTTTCTCATGTATTGTCCTTCGGAAATACACATCGATAACGATAGGTATTTGCATTGCTGCACGCAGCAAACGGAATCGACTTCGTCACCCATCAATGAAGCGACCAATTAAGCTCCACGTGTCTCCTGCATGTGCATAAAAACGTACTTTCCCCTCTGAACATTGCATATTGATTTTTAAAATTTCTGCTTACAATCTTTCATTAAAGTTATACGGTACTAAGTCACCGTCGCCTCTTGTTCTATATTAAAAATTAACATGCAGCTGTTAAGGATTAAAGCGTAGACAAATTTTTTTCAAATATATGCTGCAATGGAAGCATCAATTTCGAGTTGACATTGAATACCTCTGCACAAGGCTCAAGCTTTTCCGTATCTTCTTCAAACTTCTGTTTTGGCGCTCAGATTAGATGAATGTACTTTGACACCTGACCGACACCTTTTATGATCTTACTATATTGCTTCCATCGACTATACCATTATCCTAAATTAGATATTATTGAACATTGAAGGAACCGTTCCTTTTCGTGTTGACGTGAGAAATCATTAATAGTGCCGTGGACAGTCAATAAGAAAGTCGAAAATGTGGGTCAGACCGCACGGTATTCCCCGTTTTACAGTGAGACACGAGCAGTAAAGGTCTGGCTGGTCGTGCGTCAGTGGAAGGCTGTCCATTTCTGGGTTCTACGTCCGTTGCATTCTAAAACGGGCCCCCATACGCCGAACGAGCGTCGCTGACGCACCGACGTTACGTCGTAACATATTACTATCGACAGTAACGTCTGCCGGAACTATAGAATCATACTGTTAATACGTACTAGTAGAATCTAAGAAGAATGAAGTCGAAGAAGAATTTGCAAGTTGTAGGGATAAAAATTAACGTCAATAATTTTAATACGTTACTATGCGAATAGATTGTATACTTGAACAAGTGTGTAAAAATTTGGTAAAGAATTTTAGGCTAGGAAAATTTTTTGGGATAATATATAAAAGTAGAATATTATTTATTGCGAATTAAGTCAGGGATTCTTAATAAAATTTCTCGAGGGAAATAGGAATTCAGTAACGCCACATTTCGGTGTTATAAAATTCCTTAACTTTACTTTCACCAGATGAAATCGAATCGTCTATAGCGGATTAACGTTACACAATCGATACTCTTTGATATCCACCACAATTCCCCTTTATCTTATCCGCGGCTCTCAAACCTAGAGATACGGTTAGACGCGTTATTATATTTTAGCGGTTATTGGTCGTTTATATCTGCACGGTTGATCCGAGTGATTTCAGTGGAAATTAATTATCGCAGTTAGATTGTCCGTTCGATTGCCTCGTTTGAGACATCAATGAGAACGCATTGATGGAAACTAATCCGTGCTACTACTATTATGTAATGTTGGTTGTTTGCAAAGACTACCAGTGTCTGAAATTGCACGGAATATTTTTATATTGCACCGTCAATCAAGCGTAAAAAAAGAATCACTAAAATCGGTGTCATTGTTTCCAATGGTAACTGTATCGATTTTGTGTGATTCCAGTCGCATGTACGGCCATTTCCATGAATGCTGCAATGAACCATGTGCACTTTGAAGTATCCCGAAAAAATCTACTGTACTAAACATCTGAGAAATCTATAGATGTTATTTTCATCGGGCACATACTGTACGACGAAGAAATTTCTGATGTTTTAATTCCCTGGATTCATAAAGTGATCTGCAAGACATGATGGAACGAGAATTTATTTGGCAGATTCAGAAAGGCATGGTTTGACAGAGAATTTCAAAAAAAGTCTGAAGATTCTGAAAGGATACTCATTGCCAGATGTTCGGAAAGAGAATCATGGTTATGACAGATGCAACGTCTATGAGTTCTGTGTATAACAAGTAAACCATCATGGCGAAATTCGTGTATATTCATGTATGTACATACATCTATACATACTTGTTCTAACCTACACGTTCTAAGTCGCATGATTAAATAATAATTAACAATGAAGTGTATATACGCCTGTCACACGGTAGTGCGTGCTCGACCGTAAACAATACATTACAATTTATAGAAGGCGAATACCAAAGATGATAGATTGGGAAACTATGCGATAACGCGACATTGCGTGCGCGAGTGCTGCATGCGTGACTCACAGGTGTATATACGCCTGTCACACGGTAGTGCGTGCTCGACCGTAAACAATACATTACAATTTATAGCAGGCGAATACCAAAGATGATAGATTGGGAAACTATGCGATAACGCGACATTGCGTGCGCGAGTGCTGCATGCGTGACTCACAGACAGGCCACGCTTCATCTATGCATATAACACCGTTCGGTCTGCAGTACCTATAGCCAGAAATATGTATAGTTTGAGTATCGCGTAATGTAGAGTTCACAAGACTTCGTCGGTCAGGGTCGTTATTTTCGTAAGGCAATGAACCCCCACTTTCTCAGTTTTTCTTTGTCTCAGATTGTTTGATCTAGTGCTATCCAAATTAATATTTGCTAATAAAATCATATTAGATCTCATAGCCTAGTTTCATCTCCCTAAAAATAGCTATAAAATGGAGGTATACAGCTCCGTGCAGACTCCACGCACTATACTTCAAACGAAACCACTCTTTTCTTCTTTAAGTTTTCTTCACTCACCTGTTTGCCAATGTACGATTCCACGCTACCGTGTTGCGCGATCAGCCCGGCGCGCAGCGACGTCACATTCGATAGTTTGATTCTGCATTCGTACCTCGACCGATCTGCAAGAGTTTCCTCTCTATTACTTAATATTCTAAGAACGTTCCATCTCCGGAATAACCGCAGGAGAGTAATGAAACGTACTGTTGTAGATCTTGGTGCCGTTTCTGCAAGCACATGGCTGTCGTTCCTCCTCGCGTGGGCACTGTATTATGCAATTTTCGATTCCGCATTCTGCGAACAAGCATTGACCTCGTAAGCGTTGTCGCTCGTGAATGACTCACGCGGCTTGTATTCGGCTCAGACCGTGACTCATTCAAATGTTATGTGCGAATAATCATATCGGATGGAAGCATACCGCCGCCCACTGTGTCTAGAAGATGAATCTCGCAACTACGGCCGACGTAACCATCGACGCAACCGCAGCTCATCGCTTCCGCTCCAATTTGCCTAGAACAGTTTGTAACCAGCTTGTCATTTATCCCTCGATGCTTCACGAAGAGAGATTTTCGTCTGTGAAGGATTGAAAGTTCTCTCTCTAGTAGTTTGGAAAGTTTAATGACGTGAGAGTAATTAGTTGATCGACCTATATTTATCTGGCAATCGATCTTCTTCTATTTGGTTGATTTTTCGAGGGTAATAATAGGACGATATTTTGTGGTATTGATAATACATAATATACAAAAATAGAAGTAAAAGTAGGGTAAAAGTCAGGGAGACAAAGGAGTTATACAATTTCAGTGACGTTATGGTTTATTATGGTTGTTTTGGGAGGTCTTTGCACGGTGATCCATTGTAATATGAGTGGTATTGGCATACTTGCAAGTGCCTCCGCTCTGGCAGACGGCATTTTGCCTGTCATCGAAGCACAGAGGTCCCTCGTTGCAGTTCTTCCCGCTGAAACCCTCGAAGCAGTCGCACCAAAAGCCCCTGCAAGCAAATGTCAAGTTCTTAACTTAATTATTTGCACGTAATAAGTTATAAGCGGAGTGATTCAAGAGTATAGGAAAATTTAATGGAGTTCATTAATGATTCATGAGCTGATATGATATCGCTTGAAGCCATCCTCCGTTCTGTTTGTGTTCCATAATGGAACTTTCCGAAGTTAACCGTCCAACCGTGAGATAGGGAAAATCGAATTGCCTCCCGTTTCACGTGATTGTTTCTTTCCACTCGTTCAAACCTTTACATTTTGCAAAATATAATATTTAAATTTTGTGCCTTGTGGATGTTAATCGAGAGTCGCTTATGAAGTGTAAAAGTTAGAATAAAAAGTACGAGTTTGAAACGTGACGAAAATGAGGTGGAGTCTTTGGAAAATGATTCGAAACTAGTTTCTTCGAAACTTTTCGAGAGGAGAATTGTTGATGGGGGTGCGAGCACGTGTTCAGCGAGGAAATAGGTCGCCCAGCGGAAAAGTGGCACTCGTTCGAACTGGTACGAAAGCAAACAGGACGATAATCCGAGAGAATGATAAAGCGGCTCAATTAGACTCGAAGTGGACCCCGTTTGCATCGAGATAATGCGCGTTTAATGGTTTTCGAGGAGGTCGCTGGAACAAATACGGTGGATCTACATACTTGCTGTTCGAAGGTAAACTTCTACGTGTGTGAGTCTAACGATAAGGCTGTTGAGATGCATTGTATGCTAGAACGTAATATCTCGTAAGATGTGAGCATGGTAAACAATAAAGGACCACGTAATTCAAGATCAAGAGCAAATATTAATATAGATATCATTATTATCGAACAAAATTTCTCTTTTGATTCCTATGAAATTATAGATATTTAGAAATGAATAAATTATTAAAATAGTTACTAATATTTGTGAATAAAAGTTTGTCATGAACAACGCAGTAAATAAACTGCAAACCCACCCAGACAGTACGCAATACATTGTGCAATAGGCAAGAAATTCCAGAAGATCGAAAAGTAAAAGTTGGCACGAAACTCACGCATAGTCTCCGGACACGAGGCAATTCCCGGTGTAGGAGCAATGCTGTACGGAGCAGGAATCTGAGTTCGGCACGTCCTCGATCATCTGATACGTGACATTGAACCCGTACACGTCCAGCAGATTATCCAAAACGCGTACATGATTACCTTCCAGCCGATCCAGTTCGAATTCGACGACCAAAAACCGTCTGAACGTACGGAAGTATTTGTACTCGAACACGTTTCCCTCGGTGATCTCTTTGATTAGCGCAGCACCGAAATTCACGCTCTCTGACTCGTAGTACGCGTACTCTGTGAAGCTGAGTCCTTTGTACACGTACACCTGTGTAAGGTAGATCACGATGGAGCTGTTGGTCGCCGGAATATCGGAGACGTCAATCACCCAGCGACATTTGATGGGAACAGAAAATGATCGAGGGAAATTCGGCGTCTGAATCACTCCCCTGGGCGCAGTTAGATGACCTCCACAGGATATCTCGGTTGAAATTGAGCCTCCGATGAGGGTTAGGTGATAAAGGTAAAATAGGAGAAGGAAGATCAAAATGGGAAGGGGATATTTTTAACTGCACAAGTGGTCACGACTATTGGAAAGCTGTCAGTGGAAAGATGGAATAAAAAATTACTATTCACAGGTTTAACATTTGTTAATTATTAGTATGCAATATACATGATAAAACAATGGGACTTTTTCTAATTAAAGAATAATATTCCTCTACTTACACAGACAGTGGGAACAACCAGTTCTCCTCAACAGTGCTCAAAATGTACGTATTTCTCACTGGATTGTACCACTAAGCGATCACATTTTATTTCCACGTAACACAAGGGTTTATTCTTACATGAAATACACCTAGTTTGTTAACACTAGTGCATTTTGATGAATACAGAGTAGCATGGTATTTTGAGATGCACAAACACACGCACGCGGGCGCGTAGACACACACACACACACACACACACACACACGCACGCAGAAAGAGAGAGAACAAGATTTTTGTTACTACTTATAAAGATAAGAATTTGTATGACTCGTTCAGTTATGTAATGCACAGAATAACGCGAATATAGTAGGCAATGTTAATAATATAGACACATTCTGATCGATCTTATCTTCCTCTTTCTAGGCGATTAGCAATCAGATCAGGAATCCAGTGTTGGTTATCGCGAACGTTAGAACCCGCGATCTGCCGGGCAGCTGGGCGTTAGCCTCTTCCGCACAACTGATCTCACCACGCGCACCCTCAGTGCACCCTTCGTTCACCCATTCGCCCCCTTGAGCAGGGAGAAGGATCCAGGCTAAGAGATTTACTCTCCAATTTCCATGTTTTTTACTTTGACAATTAAATATACCGATAAACTAAACAAATAAATTAAAAAAACAAAATTGTTATGCCGGAGATGTCTGTAGTAAGCAAGGATGTATATAGTTGTGTCCATGCTGGTGGATAATAGGATTGATTTTTCAAGAGGTTCGAAGTAAGTTAGGAATTGGTGTGTAGTCTGATTTTTGAGGCTAGGAGGAAAGAAGCAGATAGGTTTATGTTTTGTATACATGCACTGATAGATATACATATGTATACACTTCTGTGCATAAGTCACCGGCCACTTGTCAATTTTGAAGATAACGTTTATTATAATTGCTTTTCAGTAAGATCTTACAAAAACACGATAATTCAGCTTCTTTTATAATATAAATAATTAGCAAGTGTTAGTTTCATTTTATAAGTATAATATAAATTTATTCTTAATCTAAATGTACCATGTGTCCGGATACTTATGGACGGGAGTGTGCATATCCACGTGTGTGTATATAATATTTTAGGAAATATTGATGATTACTTGAGTTGTGAGATGATGATATTCAATTTTGTTGCATGATATCACGGTATCTCTGAATAATGGGATGACTACCAGCTGTAGATAAAAACTGTGATAAGGGCAGATAATTGTTAATGCTGATTTAAGTAGAAGGCGATAGACGGATTTCTGTATTCTACGTTGTTTGATTCAAGGACTTGTAAGGTCGCAGGGTAAAGAAAAGAATAAAGAAATTATGCTATGTAAATTATTGCATCATACCAAGTTATGCTTAAACATAAATATTTATTTATTCAAATTAGAATACTGTGATTTCTGTATATAATTTACTTATCTTACAGTTCATGAAAACAGCTCACTAATTGTGTACAATTTTTCTGTAAACGGCAATGGTAAGTGATGGATCTTCTCTTTCATGTATGTAGAAAAGGTTGGGCTGTTTACGTAATGGATGATCCCTATTTCTATTGCGGAGCTAATGTTGGAGGTACACATACTATCGTCTGAGCTGCTATCTTCATTGCTGAACTGATTTGTGGGCGAACGCTCAGGTAAATGGCATCGCCCAATGACGAGCATAGGCTTCTCCGTTCCCAGATCCGCGTGTTCTCTCCATACATTTTGTCACAAATGATGCCTAATTTTGCTTTTATGTAATTTTTGTAAAAATAATGAAGTACGTTCAACTGCAAGACATGAATGATTCATTCATAAATATATATGTTTTTATATTTGAAAAGCAATTGTAGGTGCATTAGACACAAGCAGTTTTTCAAATGATACAGTAAATACATCATAATACCGCCATGTATGTTCGCCTTTTCTATATGCACCAATCAACTGATGTTTAGAGTAACAAATGCTTGACTCTCGAAACATGTTGTATTACAATATACTCTGTCGCATTGTCTGCCAGGTACAACATTCAAACAAGTCCCTGTTGAATATACAGTTACATGACTCTTCTCTGTTTTTACAGGAGTCACACATAAGTAAATGGTTTATACGTCACCTTCTATGAGAACTGGTATATAGAAGTTAAATAGATCCAGAGTTAATGACTTCTGCTTAAATTCTTCTAGTTCGTCATGTGCATACTTTAAACAATCTTTGTGCAATTCAATATCATGATTAGTTCCACGTTGGTCTAAGGAATATATAAAGATACCATGAATATTCTATATTAATCTAGTAAAGCAGTAATATTCTTACTCAATATGAATCTAGTCATTGTACTGAAATAACCAGTTCATGATTCAAGATTTAAAAAACTCATTCCTGGTTCCAAAGCAAGATGTTCCATTACCTCTGCATATTTGCATGATGATGATAAATGAAATTTGCTATGGATCCAGGCAGCATTATAAGTTTCCTATCTTTGAGAAGGTAAATCATAATTTCCTCTATCAACTGCTGTGAAAATTGTTCCACTGCTTTTGTTTTTATATGTGCAGAAAACATCAAGCTATCGACTATTTCATCATTACTTAGTCCACTGCATATAGTAGAATTTATTCTTAAAAACATATCTTTGTAAAAAGCTTTAAAAGTGCTGATTGAATGTGTACTTTATATATCTTTGGATACTTTTATGATCAAATAAAAATGTGCAAAAATAATTAACCAATAAATTCTCTATCAATGAAACAGTTTCTGTGTTATCTCTTTTAACATTATTATGTAAATTTTACCTATTGCCACTTATGTAATAATCATTACTTGTTACTACATCATTAACTTTTGCACAGATTCTTTTTTAAATATGAAGAAAGAAATACAAATATAATGATCACAACTTTTTACTATAATATACTAATTGTAATTACCAAAGTTCACATAAACATGAAAAATGTAATAAATGACATTCTATTAAAGTATATTTCATCTGGTAAAAATCATAGTCCAGTAAATGCCTTATGCACATGGTGTCCTTTGCTGTTAATACTTAAACACTCAGTCACGAGTTAATGCGTGCTTTTGTTTGCGGTATTTGGCATATTTTATACCACCCAATTGCTGAGTGTTTAAGTATTTAAATATTTTATTCCTGACCAGGTGTTTAAGTATCAATACTGTTATAGGAAACGGTTAATTTTACATATCAAAACATAACATATTACAATTATATCAATGCGTGTCGCATATATGTATAAAATCGGATAATGTGTATACATACATATATATTTATATCTTTACAAGAATTGTTAATATTTCATAATGAACGATAAATCAATTGTACTGAATGTTTAAAAATGTACATATATCGAAAATATTGTACTCGATGACAGTGAATAATGATATCGAGTTAAAGTTGCAGGAAAGAAATCTTTCAGATTTGACTGAGCACGATATTACATATCGTAACGTAACATTACACGACAAGAAGCTGAATTCATTGTTAAGATGCTACTGTTTTGGTAACGTAAGGTCCATCGAGTCTATCAGCTGATAGCACAAAATATGAACTGTCTCTACGCCATTGTGCGTTTTAGATATTGTTCTTTGGTGGGTTTAAACGGCACACAGACGATCTTTATTAGTGAAAAATCTGATTAATTACGATCATCATCTTGCATTTTATACTACACTATGAAGTTTTTTTCTCCGCCACTATGTACTTTATTATTTCATTTTCTCCTTTCCTCTAAAACGTGAACGAATGTTAATCGGTCTTTTCGAAGCGTACGACATCAAGCGCAAGCGTTACATACGCTCTGACATATTATGTCTCGAAATGTAAATATAAATATGTATATTTATACGTAAAGAGTTTTATACGTGTGCGCATACGTATACATATTAATAAGTAAGCAATTTCAAGGTGTCCCTTAACGCCACTGCAATATCACTGTGTTCGGGTGTATGTCTTCGATACGCATCGAATGCGTGATAAGGATTTTATCGGAGAGAGTTAAATGTATAAAAATAATGTGTATACCTATCGTACGGAGATCAGGAAATTACTACATTATAAATAGAAAAACGTTCTCGATATAGAAGCCAGGCATAAAACACGTGTTCCAAATGTATTCATCAATTCCATTAAATTTGTTATATACTGCATCTATTTTGTGTATCAATCGATACTGCACAGCTTAATTCTTGTTTTACGTAGCCAAAAATATAAATTAATGTTACCTATTTTGCTAAATGCAAAAAATTTGCAATATTATTTTATGAAATTAAAAAAATATATAATTTTTCAATGGTTACTATGTCTTTTGCATGAAAATGAAAGTAAGAATAATTATAATCATTTATTACTGTATGCATTCATAATTAAATATTGTGTACAAATTGCATTTCATTGCATAGTAGCATTTGCGTTGTACATTTGATTCGATATTTCAAAGGTGGCGGCAATAAGGTCGATAGTGAAATATATCATTACATACCATTAAATACATATTGCTGAAGTAGTTAAACATTTTTATCTTGTTCTATTCTAGACGTACAAATGTGAATGTGTCTTTACAGCAGAAGCAACATGGGTCGATGCGCATGCGCACTTCAAATGATACCGTCTCTTCGCATATGATGGCGACTGACAACTTTAAAACGTGAGTTTATTATCATATAATTTCTTATGTTTACAATGTGCTGTTCACGTGTAAAATATAACAGTGATATCATTGAATATTCAGATTTTTATTGGTTAGGTAATTTTTTTTCATGACCAACGTTCGATAGAGTATATCCTTAAAATTACCGCTCATAATTCGTCAGATAACATTCACTTATTCTAGTAAGTATACCTATAAAGCTTCTCATAACTTCTCGCATTGGTATACTTGAAAAAAGTTGTAAAGTATTTTTTGAATGAATGTAACGTGTATAAACTTTTCAATACATGTTACTTCAATTCCCACAACAATTTTTCTTTATATTCTTTTTCAATTTATCTCCACTTATATAGAAATAGTAAAAACATCGTGACTATTAGGTGCTTTGATAATGATTATGTCTACATATTCATAACGATCAATTTATAGTGCTAAAGACAAAAGCAGTTTTTTTCTTATCTTTCGAAATTTTTAAATAACCTCGATATT